CAGTGGGGCTGAGTGTTTAGAGGCGAACTTCATGTCTTCAGGAAGCAGCTTGCTGCTCTGTGAGCTGTGAGGGGCTGTTGACTCTCCCTCTCTTGCAGTCTAGTGAGGGAACCCCGTCCCCACACACACCTCCTTGGGAGTGCTGTGTAAGACTGGGCCACCTTCCAGCAGGAATGTCTACATCACTACCCGTCAGGGGCTGAAGGGTCATCTTCCTGCCTAACTTCTCCTTTCCTGTGCTCTGGTACCTTCAGACACTATCTCCCAAGGAAAATAAAAGCATGGGGACTCTGCTTGCCCAGAAAGGATCCCTGGTTTCTGGGACTCACAGCTGTCTGACCCATGAGACAGGGGGAGGTGTTTATATTTTTTTTTGTGACTGGTTCACACATCAAGAACAAATCCAGACTGACTGTCATTAGTGGACCTTGTGGTAAGCCCAGGTGTGATATATCTGTGTTTCTATACAGAAGACACTGTTACGGCTGATCTCGTCTTTTTATTTTGATTTGTATTTTAAATTGTGCTGGTGTTCTAGCCATGCAGTCCAAGCTGACCTGGAACCAGTGAATCTCTTGTCTCTGCCTCTAGTGCTGGGGTTACAAGGTTGCCTGACTAGGGTTAATTCAAGCCCCAATCAGCTCCCAGCTCAAATCACCAGGCACACACTGGTGAGGTACGGGGTGTAATTCCAGAATCGCCTCCCTGAAAGCTGGTAGGTTGTTCAGGGTCTGGACATCCTGTGGTCTACTAAGAGCCATTTCCATTCTCCCTGAGGGCAAATGGGCTCTGGGGACCTAGGCCCACTTTTGAGGGGACGGCCAGACCAGGCTTCCCACCTTCGGGCCTGAGGGTGTAACTGAGGTGGACGTAGCTGGCAGCTGAGGCACTGGCCAAGCATGAAGCCGAGAGCCTGGATGGAGCGCTAAGAATGGAAGACGCCTTTCTGGAGAAAAGGGACCAAGTCCCTCCGTGATGATGACCCTGGGAAGAAGACGCCAAAGATTATGTGTTAAGTCTGTGCGCACTGCGGGCATCACACTAAACAGCCCCGGGCAAAGCTCCAAACAGCCCCGGGCCAAGCTCCCTAGAGACCGGCCCCGCCGGCTCCAGTCTCTAAGGAGAAACTGAACTATGCAAACTGAACTATGCAAAAGCCATCAGGCAACCAGGGCGGGACTTGAGACGGAAGAGCTCGCTGGAGAAATACGTCATTTCCGCTGAGCGGCTGGACACACGTTGTGTAGTCGTGAAAGTTGATGTGAAGTTTAGCTTCCGGTTTTGTGCGACGGAAGTAACGAAAGCGCAGTGCGCCGCAGGGTGCGAGCCGAGGTCGCTATGAGCGGTGTCCTGTGTTCTCGGACTGCGGGGTGAGCGCTGTGACGTGCAGGTGGGCCAGGGCGGGAGGCGGCCGTGGCGGCGGGACGCTTACTGCTGACTCTCTTTCCAGAGCGGTCCGGGCTCTGCGGCTCGTGGCCTGGGCTTCGCGAAGCCTGCATTCGCCGCTCCATGGGTCTCCAGCCCAGCCTACAGACAGGGAAGAGGAGGAGGAAGACCCCAACCTCCCCATCCAATTTTCCTCCAGCAAAGCCACCCCAATCCGCTGGACGGTGGAGCATTCCCTTGGGAAGAATCAGCGGCGGCCCTGGTGGAAAGTGCTGCCGGTCACCTTCACCCTCACAGTTCTGATCCTATGGTGCTATCTGAGGCAGGAGACCAGCACGGACCAGTGGTTGAGAGAGGTGTTGGGCGAGGTGGACGAGGAGAACGAGGAAGAGTCGGACGGTCGTTTGGAGGAGCCCGAAGCTCCGGCTTTTTACGGAGCTAGAACGTAGAAAGGGTTTTTTTTTTTTTTTCCCGAGGAAGGAAACAGGCAGCCGTCATTCTGTTTCGTTGTCGAGTCTGTCGATTTCTGAACCGTTTCTGCGTGTGGCTTCGAAGCTTTTAAAGGACTTGGATGGCGCTCTTGGTGCTGAGGCACGAGAACACAGCACGGAATTGGATCCTCGAAATCTGATCCTTGCCAGACACCAATGCCCAGTGATAACGTCCAAAGGACTTTTGAGGTTCATAGAAAAGGTTTTGGCTGCACCGTGTGCTGTTGAATTTGTGATTTGTTTGTACAACCTAATCATGTTTCCAGAAAAGTTCTGATGGGGGTGGTTATCTGCGGTTCATTTGCTTTCTGAAACAGAAAAACTGCAGAAGTCTTACACTTTGTATGGTGCCATGGTGTGTACAACAGCAGTTGAAGCTACTTTAAATACTAACAAATGGAAAATACATTTGGTAAAGTCTAATGAACACAATTCTCCCCTCCCCTTGTATTAAGTGTTTTTTTGTTTTTGTTGTTGTGGCCGGTTTTTGTTTGTTTCCTTGTTTTGGCTTTTTTGAAATGGAGTCTCCTTATAGAGCTCTGACTGACCTGGAACTGGCTGTGTAGATCAGCCTCATCTCAGAGATCTGCCTGCCTCTGCCTTCAGCTCTCCAGTGACGGGATTAAAGGTGTGCAGTAGGACCAGTGACATCTTATTTTCGAAAGGAGTAGTTTTCTAGGTCAAGGAGCCCGGTAGCCCGGTTGTTGTTCTTTTTTTTTTTTTTTTTTTTTTTTTGCTTGCTCTTCCCTCCCACTTGAAAACTTAAAACCAAGCAAAACAAAAAGTAGTGCTCACCAGAAGTGGTAATGAATGTCTGTAATCCCATCACTTACAAGACTGAGGCAGGATTATCCTAATCTGAGGTCTGCTTGGGATACATAAGGAGACCCTGTCTCAAAAAATATTTTTCAATGGCACAGTGGTTTGTTTGTTTCTTTGTTGTTGTTTCTGTTTTTTTTTTTTTTTTAAACAGTTTTGGGGTTTGAACCCAGTAATCTAGCATGTTAGCCTACCACTGAGCTCCCAGCTCACGTAGAATTAAAAAAAAAAAAAAAGTCAGCTGGAGAGATAGTTCAGCTCTTTCAGAGGTCTTGAGTTCAATTCCCAGCACCTATACGGTAGCTCACAAATGTCTATAGTGGGAGCTGATGCTTTCTTCTGTATAAAGGTAAACATGCAGATAGAGCACTCATATACATAAAATAAATAAATAAAATGTCACATTTCATGCAGTGCATCCATAGTCCTGCCAGGCTGATTTCCCCAGTGAGGTGTCTAGTTGAACGTGGGCACACTTAACTACACATCTGTTTTGTGGGGTTTGTTTGTTTGTTTGTTTCTTGAGACAGGGTTTCTTGGTACTCTTTCTGTAGACCAGGTTGGCTGTAGCTTGTATTTTTCCTAAGGTGCTCAGCCTGGTGACTTCTCTGGGTAAGTGCCCAGTAAACATCTGATAGGGAGAGGACCTGCAAATATGAGCCAGCATGAGTGAGTGTTTCATGTACAAGAGATTGAAAAGCTGTTGGGCACTAAGAAATGATTAAATAAAATGTTCTTCCAGGTGGAAAGGAGTTAGCATAACAGCCACTTAAAAATTACATTTATGTGTGTCATTATGTATGTGTACCACATGCTTGCCTAGTGCCCATGCAGGTTAGAAAAGGGTGTCAGATCCCCTGGAACTGGAGTTTTGAATGGCTGTGAGCCAACATGTGGGTCCTGGGAACTGACCTTGGGTCTTCTGGAAGAAAAGTCAGTACTCTTAACCACTGAGCCATCTCTCTAACCCCAACAGCCACTTCTTATAAATTCTTACAAATGGAAGATCTCAGTCGTTTTGGGCAGTCTCCCAAAAAGTGAGCTATTAACAGAGAAAAACCTGTTGTTTGTTTTAGTTCCAGCTCTTGAATTACGTCTTCAATAAAAAAGAAACTTTAGTTCTTACGTGGTTGCCACGTAAGTTTTCATTTCCCACTCCTCAGCAACCTTTGAGATGTGTTTGTTCTGTAGATTTCTATGTCTGTCCTTCCCTGTTTTGCCCTTCTGTTTGATCTATTTTGAAATGACAGTGCACCTGGTTTGGGTTTTTTGTTTTTTGCTTTTTTTTTTTTTTTTTAGACGATCTCTTCCCAGGGCTGGTCTAGAACTCACTTATCTCTAGCTCTTGAGTGTGAGGATTACATGCTTGTGCAACCACATCACCTTCCTTTTTAAAAGTTAACTTTAGGGTTTGTGGGCTAGGGATAATGTTCAATGACAGAGTGCTTTGGTAGCATTCACAAGGCTCTTCCTTCTACTTCTAGCCTACCAGCAAGTTGATAATCTCACCTTTTCTGTATTTAAAATGTAGCTTACATACTTGGACCATATTATCTTTGTTCATATTTCAGATTGGTGTACCTAGAAATGGGACAGATTATTTTCTGCTAAGCAGGAGGAGAATCAATTGCTTTCCAGCCTTTCCTTTCAGAGTACCTATGGCCTTACAGCTCCATCCTCAAACTATCCCTCAGAGCATCATGCTGTCAGCTGAGGAGCTAGGGTCACTTTTTTTGCCATTTACGATGTCTCATGCCACACACTCACATACTAATAAATGCTAATATGTAACTTCCGAATTCAACCTAGCACCTGCTGAGCCCCACCCCCAACGTGTGTTCAGCACCCTATGCACCCCAGCTCACTGGTTCCTGACTACCCTGTGTACATCCTTTATTCTGTGTGCTCATCTGCCAGCCTTTTACACAATATTTTTTAAAAAGCAGCCCAAGGGAGAATTCACACTCAGTCCGTCCACAAACCACAATTTTTAAATAAAAGGGCGACCATCGCCATAGTCTAATTATAGACCTGTTCTAGCTAAAAAATCCTTGTGCCCACCAGCAGTCCTTGCGTGCCAACACAAGCCCACGGCCTTGGACCCAGAGGCCAGCGAGGGTACTCTACACCAACGGGCGTGTCCTGCTTTGCTCCTATAACTTGCTGCCAAAGGGGGCTCGCAGGTTCTGCGTGTCACCCCCGCCGCACAGCGCGCGTGGGCGAGGGGTCGACGGGGGCGTGGCCGGCGCGGCGTGCCCGGGGGTGTGGCCGGCGCGGCGGGGGGCGCAGGGGGCTCGGTGCGGGGGGAGATCCGGGGGCGCCGGCGCGGCGCATGCGCGTTGCATTGTTTTGACTAAAAATGCCGTCGGTTTCGAAAGCGGCGGCGGCGGCGCTGAGCGGGTCCCCCCCGCAGACCGAGAAGCCAACCCATTACAGGTCAGTGCCTGGGCTGCAGCCCGTGGCCTCCGGGACGCCGCGGCGCAGGGGAGCGGCCGGCGCGCGCCGTAGGCCCGGGTGCCGCCGCTGAGGGTGCGCCCCGCCCGCGCCTCCGCCGCCAGCTTTTGCGGGTCACGCCGTCCGGGCGCGGGCCGCCACCTAAGGTGGGAGGTGGCGTCCGGGGTCTTCGGTGACCCCCTGGCCTGGGGGCTGGGCTTGCTTCTGGTCTCCCGCGACCCTAGGCGCCAGGCTGGAGTCTGGGGACAGCGCCTGCGTTTGGGGCTCAGGGCCGCGCCTGGGGTGGAGATGGACACACGACCATCCGGACGCGGGCAGTCGCCGCCTGAGGTTGAGAGGCGGCACCCAGGGTCGGGGTGGCCTCTGGGTTGGGGGCGGAGTCGCACCTAGGGTCGGATTAGATGCCTGGGCTTTAAGCCTGGGGGTCGTTTGTGCGGCGCAGAAAAGGGGTTGCGCTTGGTGTGGGCGGGTGGAGCTTGCAGTCCATCTGGAACCCCAGAAGGGAGTTGCGCGGGAGTCGGGAGACCGGGTCTGGGGATTGACAGGTGGCTCCTGGGGTCAGAGACTGTGTTGAAGCGGGTGGAGAATGGAGTCTAGTTGTGTAGAGTTATCTGGGATTGGTCTTGGGGGGTGGCACGCTGGGAGGAGGTGTGCACCTCGAGTTGAGGAACCTTATCTGGGGGACTGGGAAGTGGTATTTGGGGTCAGGGGACGGAGAGTCTATTTGGAGTTACCTGTCTCCTGGGGTTCAGGGACAGTACCCGAGGAAAGGGGAGGGTACCAGACTGCGGAAGTCACATGGACTCGGTGTGGGGGCTTCGGGTCTGGGACCCTGCCCCGCCGCGTCCCAGGGGCCTCCAGCCGGCGGCGGCTGCGGCCCGCAACGCTGTTTGTCTTTTTAGGTATCTAAAGGAGTTTAGGACAGAGCAATGCTCCCTGTTTTTGCAGCATAAGTGCAGCCAGCACAGGCCGTTCACCTGTTTCCATTGGCATTTCCTAAATCAGCGTCGGCGCAGACCGCTCCGACGTCGGGATGGCACCTTCAACTACAGCCCGGACGTGTACTGCTCCAAGTACGATGAGGCCACCGGCCTGTGTCCCGACGGCGATGAGTAAGTGGGGCTCCGGTGGGTGGCTACTGGCCTCTCCCCAGGACAGATCAAAAGGTTCTTGAGGTTCCTGGTTTTGACACAGGATCTCTATGTAGTCCTGGCTGTCCTGGAACACTATAGACCAAACTGGCCTGGAACTCAGATATTCACCTGCCTCGGCTCCCCAAGTGCTGGGGATTAAAGGTGTATACCACTATGCTGGTTCCTTGGTTCTTTTTGACATCTGCTACCTGTAGAGGGGAACCTCATTTTTACTCAGGTTTTACAGGAGTCAGCAGAACTAGCCATTTTTAGGCTAGTCCCCTGATAGATTATGTATGTTGTAGGGGGAAATGTTTGGTAATTCAAACTGATTTTGATTCACTTTCTACCCTTATCCTGTCTAATGCGCTACTTGTTTTGCAGCTGCCTAATTTAAAACGGTTTTGTGTGGTCAGTTACTTTTCATTCAAGTACTTGCATACATATAAGCATGAAATGTTGTTTTCTTGCTGCTTACTGTCTTTTTTGTTTTACATTGCGACCACAAACTATGGAGCATTTCGTGAATTTGCATGTTATCCTTGCACAAAGGCCATGCTAATTCTCCCTGTATTGTTACAATTTTAGTATATGTGCTGCTGAAGCAAGGATTTAACTGTTTATTTTAAAGAAGGGGTGCAGAATTGTTAATCTAAGGTGATTTTGCTTTTCATTATTAGTAATAATGTAGTGGATATTAAGTGACACCCATAGCCTTGCATATGTTAGACAAGGACTCTTATCACTGAGATACCCTCCCAGCTCATTAAAAAAAAAAAAAGTAGGAAAATCATTTTATTTGCACATTGTCATTTATGGAACACTTTCAATCTGTGTGTGTGTCTATACATGTGTGTGCTTATGTGTACAAGAGCAGAGTGTTGTGGGTATTCATATTCGTGTATATACAGAGATCAGAGCTCACAGGTCAGCCTCACATGTGTTTCTTACCTCATTTTGAAAAAAATTCTCTCATTGGCCTGGAGCTGGTCCCCTAGGTTAGGCTTGCTGGTCTGCTAACCATTTCCAAGGACTGCCTGTCTCTACTTCCCTATCATTGGGATTGCAAGTGTATACCACTGTGCCAGTTTTTGTTTTGTTTTGTTTAAGGTTCTGGGGGTCAAACTTAGTTCTTTATAGTAGCAAGGCAAGTATTTTACTGACAGCCATCTCTCCAGCCCCAAATGTCTTCATTTTGAAGTTATGAAGATAAAGTTTAAGTCAGACTTTGTGTTCAGAGGGAGGTGGAACATAGTGTCAGGAGGTGTTGTCTTGGTCCTTTGGGCAGTTTGGGCAGTGGAGGGTTGTGTGTGTGTGTGTGTGTGTGTGTCTGTTGTGCATATGAGTGTTCAGGTACCCACAAAGGCCAGAGGATCTCCTGGAGCTGGAGTTACACAGATGGTTGTGAATTACTCAATATGAATTCTGAAGCTCAACTTGGCTCCTCTGCAGGAGCATCACATGCTCCTTTTTGAAAAACATCTTTTTAAAAAAATATTTATTCTCATTTTATGTGCTTTAGTGTTTTGCATGGATGTCGTGTCCCCTGGAACTGGAGTTACAGACAGTTATGAGCTGCCATATGGGTGCTGGGCATTGAACTTAGGTCCTCTGGAAGAGCAGCCAGTTCTCTTAACTGCTGATCCATCCCTCCAGTCTCTCACAGAAAGGTTTTTAGTGGATATATTGTTGCTGTTAATATAGCTTGAGAGCCAAACTAGATAAAGTGCAGCCTGCTGAGCTTCAGTTACAGTAGTGTTCTAGAGCCAACAACATGGTTCACTGGGTAAAGGCAGTAACTGCCAAGCCTGATGACTTAAGTTTTATCCCTGGAACCCATAATGGAAGAAGAAATCTCATACATACTATACTCTGGGGCTAGAGGGATGGCCCAGCCCTTAACAGCTAGGCTGGAAACCAAAACAAATCATACTCTGACTTCCATACCTATGCTGTTGTATATGTTCATGGTTGTACATACATACTCTAAATACATACAGTAATTTTCTTGTTGTTTTGAGATAGGGTTTCTCTGTGTAGCCTTGGCTCTCTTGGAACTTTCTCTGTAGACCAGGCTGGCCTCAAACTCAAGAGATCTGCCTGACTCTGCCTCCCAAGTGCTGGGATTAAAGGCGTGTGCCACCACCACCCAGCAAATTTTTTTAAAGCCATAGTCTGTGTAGCTCTGGCTGTCCTGGAACTCATTATGTAGACCAGGCTGGTTTTAAACTCAGAGATCCACTTGCCTCTGCTCCTAGGTACTAGGATTAAACATATGCAACTACCTGTGGTATTTAATCTAATTCCTTTTGAACTGGCTCCTTAGAACATTCCTTAGAAGACAAGTGACTCTCTAGCTAAGACCTGGGCTCAGTTCATAGTGTTCCATGATCTTTTGGTCACCTTGGGGCTGCTGCTACTTGAGCAGGAATACATGAGCAGGTACCCTTCTTGTCTGACTTTGTCCTAGAGTATAGCCTGGGAATATCTTGTAGAATTCACCAGTGATAATTTTAATTTGTAAAAAGAAAGCATGTCTTGGGCTGGAGGGTTAGCTCAGTGGTTAGGAGCACTTGCTGCTCTTCCAGTTGGCATGGACTCAGTTCCCAGCACCCATATGACATGGCAGCCCACAACCTACCTATGACTCCAGGCCAGGGAATCTTGCATTCTTCTGAAGTCTGCAGGTGCTAGTACACTTATGGTACACAGTACACATACAGGCAAAATACTCATACAACGAATCTAAAAAGAGAAAGCATGTCTCGGGCAGTTTGTGGTTCTGAAACTTGGTTGTCCTGGTTATTGGAGCATGTCACTGTTGGGCATCCAGGTTGTGTCACTTTGTAGATCCACCTGCTTTTGCCTCCCAGAGTGCTGGGATTAAAGGCATGTGCCAGCACTGCCCAGCAAGTTTGTATGTTCTTACTGGAATGAAGAGTGTTGCAATGAACTCCAGCTAACATCTTTAGTTTTTTAAAAGTGGTAATTAACCATATGCGGTTGTTACTGACATGTTAACTAACATTTGGGCTTAGTAGCTTGTAGTTTATCATTAGGAAACCTAAGCAGGACTTGCTGTTCAGTTTGGGATGTATTCTGTGGGTATGTGTGCTTAAAAAGAGTCAGATGTGTCTTTTTTTTTTTTAATTTATTTATTTTTATGTGCATTGGTGTTTTGCCTGCATGTGTGTCTGTGTGAGGGTGTCAGATCTTGGAGTTACAGCTGGCATGTGGGTGCTAGGAATTGAACCCTGGTCCTCTGGAGGAGCAGCCAGTGCTCTTAACCACTGAGCCATCTTTCCAGCCCCCAGATGTGTCTTAGGAGAGATTTTTGTTTATAATTTATCTAGAGCACATGGGATGAGTTGCCCTTCAGGAAGCATTTCACAGGCTGTCTCCGCTGGGAGTCCCTGCTTAGTAATTACTGAGAAAAACTTCCCTGTTGCTGCATGTGTGGAATGGCTGGAGTTTATCTTCTTGAATTGCATGTTCTAGTTCATGCAGAGTTGCCATAGAAATTGTAAATTAGATAGTACCTTCCAGAGCATTGATGGTGGGTCTTTCCCTTTATTTCAGGATCTTGAAAATCTTTATTTTGGCATTACACTATCAAACAATCAATAAGCAATTATTTATTACAGTACTGGAAATAGAACCCAAGTCCTCAAGAAAGCTAGGCTTTACCTCTGAGCCTCATGCCTAGACCCACAAACCTGTTATTTTTAAAACATCAGCATTTCAAGAACAGGCTAGAGAAACCCACAGAAACAGCTGATCTGAGCAAGGGGGAGCTCATGAGCCCCAGACTGGTAGCTGGGAAACCAGCATAGGACGGACCCAGAACCCCTGAATGTGGGTCTCAATTAGGAGGCCTGGGAAGTTTATGGAACCTCTGGCAGTGGAACCAGATTGTATCCCTAGTGCATAAATAGACTTTGGGAGCCTGTTCCCCATGGAGGGATACTCCGTTAGCCTAGAGACATGGGGAAGGGTCTAGGCCCTACCCCGAATAACTTGACAGATTTTGATGATCTCTTATGGAAGGCCTCCCCCTCCCTGGGGAGTGAATGGGGGATATGATGGAGGGGTTGGTGTGGGGCATGGGAGTATGGAAGGGAGAAGGAACTGAGGTCAATATGTAAAATAAGAAAAAAAATATTAAATAAAAAAACAATTAGTAAAAAAAAAATCAGCATTTTTCAGTGCTTTAGTCAGTGTTTGATAAAGTGAGCATCCAGTTAGTCTTGATGCTGGCTGGGCCCATCCAGGGTTCTGGGTCTGCTCCAGGAGGGTGGGCACCTCTAGATGGGCAGCACTGCTAGCACTTCTCGGTATCCCTCCTCTACACTCACCCTGTCCTCCTGGTCTCCGTACCATCGTCACTAAACTCGATGAGTAGCCTCCATTCCCTCGCCTCATCTCATCTCTCCCTGTAGAGTCCTTCTGAGTCTTCCTTGTCGACACACTCCTTGGGAAAGCTTGCTGGTCGAGCAGTCTTGTTAAGATTCCTGTTGCACTCTTTCTTGGTTGATGGTCACCCCCTTGCTGCCTTTTCCCATGACCCCTCTTCAGCCTGTCCTCCCCTCTGATACTCCTTGGGTAACTACTGGACCCCTGCCAACTACTTCATTTGGGGGTTTGGCCCCTGACTTGACTGACAACTTGCCCTTTTGTTCTGGTGGGTGTGACCTTTTGCCAGCACTGGCCTCAGTCGGTTGCTGTGGGTCATGTGTGTTGGCCTTTCCTTCATAGGAACTGGCCTTCAGGCTCCACATGGCCTGCTTAGGTTGGCCAGCTAGTCAGCTGGTGGTGGCTCCATCTCCCACACCTATTATGCAGCATCTGGGACAGGCAATGGGGTTACATCCATATCTGTGCACATCCAACATAGGTACTCCCGGGGCTGCAGGCAAAGTAACTCTGTCTGTCTTTGTTATCTATCTGTCCATCCACCTGTCTTCTTACTATGTGGCTTAGTCTACAGAGCGAGTTCCAGGACAGGCTGCAAAGCTACACAGAGAAACCCTGTCTTGAAAAACAGGGGCTGGGGGGGGGGCTTTAAATTTCTCACCAGTCAAAGCCTCTGTCTTTATGTGATCTCATGAATTTTGACATAGAGTAATGTCTTAGTTTGATTTTCTCTTTCTGTGATAAAACATTCTGACCCAAAGCAGTTTGGGGGAGGAAAGGGTTTAATTGGCTAGCACTTCACATCACAGTCTGTCACTGAGGGAACCTGAGGAAGACACCTTGGAAGAACTCTGCTTATAGTCTTTCTTACTCTATGCTCACTTGGCTTGCTCACTTGGCTTTCTTCCTCTCTCTCTCTCTCTCTCCCTCCCCCCCCTCTCTCTCTGTGTGTGTGTGTGTGTGTGTGTGTGTGTTGTGCGTGTTGTTTCAAAACATGATTTCTCTGTGTAGTCTTGGCTGTTCTGGAACTCTCTCTGTAGACCAGGCTGGCTTCAAACTCACACAGATCCTCTGTCTCTGCCTCTCCTGTGCTGGGATTAAAGGTGGGCGCTGCCACAAACCAACTCAAGTTTGCTTTCTTAGACAACCTGGGATCACCAACCCAGGGTTGGACTCTGCCACAGTGGGCTGGACTTCCCCACAATTATCAACCAAGAAAATGCCTCACAGGTTTGTCTACAGGTCAGTCTGATGGAGGCGTTTTCTCAGTTGAGATTCCCTGGTCCCAGATGACCCGGGTTTGTGCCAAATTGACAAAAACTGATCAGCATCAGTAGCAGTGCATGGTGTTAAATATGCAAAGGTAGTATATATACGCTGGAGTAGGGGCAGGTATTCATTCAGTATGCCAGCTTCTGTTTGGAGCAGACCTTGGTGTGCAGGAATGTAGATGCAGCTACTCAGATGCTAGTGTTGGGCACGTGGAGATCAGGGTCAGCTTTAAGTCTACAAGGACTAGTCAGTGTGTTCACTGCTCTGCTTCCCAGATGCCCCTACCTGCATCGAACAACTGGGGACACAGAGCGCAAGTACCACCTGCGCTACTACAAGACAGGCACATGTATCCATGAAACAGATGCACGGGGCCACTGTGTGAAGAATGGCCTGCACTGTGCCTTCGCACATGGGCCCCTGGACCTGCGGCCACCTGTGTGTGATATCAGGTGAGTAGGGTGCTTAATGTGAGGACCAGCTTCCTCCTGTGCTGCTTCTGGCATCCGTGTTTCAAAGCATCTCTCTCTGAGCCCCAGTTTTATTTAGTTACTTGCTGTTTGGGGACAGGATCTCCTGTGTATCCCATACTGGCCTCAAACTCCCTATCCTCTTGCCTGTCCTTAAGTGCTAAGATTCCCAGTTTTTGGTGCTTAAGATCAAACCCAGGATTTCATGCATGCTATGCAATCACTTTACCAACTGAGGTCCTTCCCTGGTTATCCTGCATCTGTTTTCAGGGTTTCCTTGTGTATTGTGACCCACAAATAGGGACAAAGATTTAATGTTATCTGTCTAGATAGACAAACACTGTGTGTGCTCAGCTGCTGCGCAAAGTAGATCCTTCCTGAGCTCATAGCTACAATATCCTAACACTTGGGAGGCTGAGTCAGGCTCAGGCTATCCTGAGTTCAAGCTCTATCTGTAATATATGGTGACTTAGTAAATACCAGGACATTCTGAGCTACAGGAGAATGAGCCCCTCTCCTCAGGGAGGAAAAATGAAAGAAAGGAAGGAAGAGGTCAGGTGTGGTGGTGTGTGCATTTAATCCTAGCACTCAGGAGGCAGAGGCAGGCAAATCTCTTTAAGTTTCAGGACAGCCTGGTCTACGTAACAGTTCCAGGAGAGCTGGGATTATTACATCAACCCTGTCTAAATAGAAGGGGTGAGGAGTGGGGGCAGAGCCTTTTTAAATGAACCAGCTGTAAAATTGCAACTTGAGACAGAGAGAGCTGGTGTCCCAAGATAGGCTGCTGCGCTTGATGCCATTATAGTTTGGCCCTAAACCTGCAGGTAGAGCCAGTGAGGTGACAGACTAAATGGCTCTGGAGCCATGGATTCTCCTAACTTTCTCACTTCCAGGGACTCCCAGGCTATAACTGCTGTGCTGTTGGTTGCAGGGAGCTTCAGGCTCAGGAAGCCCTGCAGAATGGTCAGCTCAGCAGTGGGGATGGTGTACCTGATCTGCAGCCTGGGGTCTTGGCCAGCCAAGCCATGATAGAGAAGATCCTGGGTGAGGATCCTCGGTGGCAAGGTAAGCCCAGGTTTTCTTCAGTAGCTGCAGGGGAGAGCCGTGCCCTTTCACTTGGTGGCTGCCCCCTGCATGAGTTCTTAACATAACCTGCAGGAAGATCAGATGGAAAAATCAAGGTTCCTCAGTCCACTTCTAACCGTCAACCATTTAGGAAACAGATGGCCAAATGGGATTTGAACCCAGCCATCTGGTCCCAGACTCTGCTGGCCCATCATACCACCTGGCATCTTTGTAGGTGGTGTTGGTTAGCTGTGGGGTTGAGGTTAGTGTTCAGGGCCCACAGCAACTTCCAGGCAGCCTGTTCCAGCATATTGCTAGCTGGTGTCTGCTGCCTTCTACCCCATTAAAGTGGGATCCACCTGCCTAAACCTGGGTTTCTGTGTGTCTGGAGCTTAAATCAGGTATTTATCTGTCCTTGGACTTGTCCTGAGGAACTGTGAAGCCCATATTCTCTGTAGGCTATATGAATGATAGTTGTGAAGAGTAGAAGATGTTTTGTGGTAAAATACACATAAAATAACCATTTTAGGGGCTTGGGGGGGTGACTCAGTGAGTAATGTGTTTGCTGTATAGGCCTTGGGATCTGAGTCTGGATGCCCAGTATTCCTGAGAAAACCTGAGTGTTACAGTGCAGGCCTGTAATCCAAGCACTAGAGGGATGGAGACCACAGGATCCTGAAGGTTTGCTATATAGCCTCTTCAGCCAGTTGTCAGTGCTGGGTCCTATATAATAAGGGGAAATGGGCTGGAGAGATGGCTCAGTAGTTAGAGCACTGGCTGCTCATCCAGCGGGGACCACAGTGTTTCTCAGCACCCACCTGGCAGCTCGTAACAGTCTGTAACTCCAGTTGCTGGGGATCTGATGCCCTCTTTTGGTCTCTGTGGGCACCAGGCACATACATGGTGTACAGACACATGTATAGACAAACACTTTATACATAAAATAATGATGATGTGGGAGCACTAAAAGAAGTCCCACTTGTGCGCTCAGGAATCAGGAACATGTGCACCCACACACACAAGAAAGCCCGTGTTCAAGGGTGATCATGTGTTTTCCTATTTGTTTTTTGTTGTTTTGGTTTTGATTTTTTCAAGACAGGGTTTGTCTCTATAGCCTTGGCTGTCCCGAAACTCAGTCTGTAAACCAGGCTGGCCTTGAACTCACAGAGATTCACCTGCTTCTGCTTCCAGAATGTCAGGATCAAAGACCTCCATCACCATACCTAGTTTTCTTTTTTTTTTAAGATTGGTTTTTATTATTTTTTAAATTATACACACACATATATATATACATATATGTACACGTGCGTGTGTGCGTGTGTGTGTGGGGGGTATGTCTAGTCTGTGAAGTTTTAAGAAATACAGTAAGTCTTGATGTGCTCCCTCCAACTTGCTCTGTTCAGGGCTTTCTTGTTTGTAAGTAGTGCATTCAGTTTGAAGATAGTCCAGCTGTGGGCTGTCTTCCTACAGTCTTCTTTCTCATTGAATCAGATGAATTGAGCGAGAGGCCAGAGGCTGGGATAAATTAACAGCATGACTGTGGAGCTCTTTCTGATTCCATGTGGATCTTTTACTGTGGTCCCCCCACTATGCTGGCCAGCCCCACTGAAGCTCACACTGTACTCTCTTTATTGCCCCACCTGTCTCAGTGCTGACAAGCTGTGGCCTATTGTCACATTGCAGGTGTTGGGAGAAGAGAAGGGACACTGCCTGTCCAAGTCTCTGTTGGAGAGGGAGACAGGCAGTGGTCTGTCTCAGAGTCAGGGACAGGGTGTGATAACTCAGCTAGAAGATGGTGTGGCAGCAGCTTCATGTTTGGCTTTGTGTGTTTTTATAACCCTTCCGCTCTATCCAGTAGTCTCCCTGGTGGCAGAATCTGTTCTCCTCCAAGTGGGCATCTGATCTGGTGCCACGGGCGGGAGGTGAGAACCCCCTTGTCTGTAGGGTAGATTTGACTTATCGGGAAAGAAAGGAGGTGACTAGAAGGGATCTTTGCTCATGTTTTTGTTTTCTTGGGGTTTTGTTTTTGTTTGTTTTTGAGATAGGATCTTACTAATGTAGCTCAGGCTGACCTTGAACTCGTAGAGATAGGTCTGCCTCTGCCTCTCCAGTACTAGAATTTTGCCACCACAGCCAGCTTCAAAGTTAACCTGTTTTGTTTTGTTTTTTGAGACAGGGTTTTTCTTTGTAGCCCTGGATGTCCTGAAACTCACTCTGTAGACCGGGTTGGCCTTGAACTCAGAGCTCTGCCTGTCTCGGTCTCTCGAGTGCTGGGATTTTAAAGGTGTGCATCACCATCCAGCATATAATTAATCATTTTTAAGCTGAATGTTGATGATACACCCTTTGTGATCCCAGTGCTCAGAAGGCTGAGGAAGGATGGCCATGGACGTAAGCCCCCCCAAAGCTATATAGCAAAAGGGTTTCATAGCATTAACATAGATGTTCAGCTGTGTGTGCTTAGTATATACCTGTCATCTTACCATTGAGAGTCTGGGTTTCAGCAAGATTGCAAAATCTGGGCCAGCTTGAGCTACAGAGCCAGCTTAGGCAATTAATGGGACCCTGTTTCAAAATAGATAGTAAAAAGAAAGTTGCATTTATATAACTCCGTATTAGATCACTTGCCTGGGCTCTAGGTCCTAGGTGTAGTTGCCGGCACCTCCCTAACAAAAGGTTCAAGGTTTAATCTCCAGCACAATCCGAGCAGAGCATAGTGGCTAACACCTCTGATCCCTCTGGGAAGACAGACACAGGAGTCAGGAGGTTGGGTTTGAAGATTACAGGTAATCTTTTGTTTTTATGTTAAGCATATTTGAAAGTAGGAATTTATCCTCCCTCAGCATCATCATCATCGTTAGAGGTGGGAGTGGGCTTTCAAGGGCTATGGTGCTTGGGTAGAGGTCAGAGGACAGCTTTTGGGGATCACTTCTCCTTTCCTTCTGGATTACAGAGACTGAATTCAGGTTGCCAGGTTTATGCAGTAAGTGTTAAGTGCTCCTACATGCTGAGCCATCTCACTGGCCTAAAAATATTTTTAGTGACCACAAACTGAGGAGAAAATCCAGTCCTATGTTCCTGTGCATGCGCAGTAGGGCTAGAGCCAGACATCTGGTGCATTGGGTAGACCTCCACTGGCCTGTCTGGAGATTAGGGTTACATTTCAGTAAGTTGACTTTAAGGTAATAGAAAGAGTTTAAGAAAGAGAAGACATGCCTGAGAATAAGAGTTGGATCAGTGAGTTGGGGACAAGCATATTGTCAAAAAAGCTGTTTCGTTGTTATTTGTGTGTGAATGCCTGTGAATATGTGTTTGTAGACAAGTGAATGTACATTTGTGTATATGTGGAAGCCCGAGATTGACATCAGATATCTCCACTTATTCACTGATACAGAGTCTTTGAATTGTACCCACAGCTCACTGGATCTGCATTCTGAATGATGGGATTACAGGCAGGCTGTCATGCCCAAGTGGGATTTACATAAATTCTGGGATTTGAAGTCTGGTGTTCATGCTTGTCAGTGGTTTTTAATATGGTCACACATCACTTTAGTTTCATTTAAATGTTTTCTTTTTTGAGATAGGGCTTCATTTCACTAAGGCTGGTCTTGAACTTGCCGTATAACCAAGAATAACCTTGCATATCTGATGCTCCTGTCTACATCTCTAAAGTGCTGGGATTACAGGCATGTACCATCATGCTTGTGTCATACTGGGGGCTAAAGTTAAGCTTTGTACATGCTAGGCGAGCCCTCCACCAACTGAGCTATTTTCCCAGCCAGTTCCCAAAGGAATCTGGTCCACTCTAACAGGACTTCCCTGTCTTCTGGTGATCTTTCATCTCTGGGTTTTCTTATTCTCTACATCTATGTATGTTGGTCATACTTAACAACCTTGTGCCTGGGATCTCCTACTTTGTATAGTCTCTCGGGAACAATCCATAGTACAGCAGGTCTACTCAGTGGTGATGGATGCGTGGCTATCTGTGCTTGGGCTGCTGTTCCTAATGTTACTGTGAGCACTCAAGGCCAGGTTTTCTTGGATCTGTTTTACAGACAGTAACTTCGTGTTGGGCAGCTATAAGACAGAGCAGTGCCCAAAGCCACCACGCCTATGTCGCCAGGGCTATGCCTGTCCACACTACCACAACAGCAGAGATCGCCGTCGGAACCCCAGGAGGTTCCATTACAGGTGGGTTCGGGAACTACAGGCAGGAGGACTTGGAGCCATCTTCTAGGTGTTCCCCATTAGGGGTCTGCTGTGCCTCTAAATCTACTCTTACTGTAGCTACTGGCCTGACTGCTCTGCAACTCCCGCTGCCTCTGCTAATCTGACAGAAGCAGGGCCATGAGACCTCTTCACTTCTTTTCTGTGACCCTTGTAACTCATGCTGGAGAGGGGGAGCATTTTCCATGCTGTTGTCACGGAGATGCCCACCTTAGAGTTAGTTCTCCCATTGAGGATTCCCTGCTCAGCAGTGCTGTCTGTCACCCCAGAGGTGAGGAAGCTGTCTTAAAGGGCTGGGCTTATTAGAGACAAAGTAAAGGCCTGAACATCTGTTGTAGGGACAAGTGGGGCAAAGCTGGGACCTAGGTCTCTCTGCACTGAGGCACAGTGGTTCCCATATGATCCTCCCACTGGCATCCTATTAGACATTGGGAACACAGCTGGAAATACCACCCTGCATCCTGTCCAGTGCCCTTGTGTGTTTTACTGGCAGTTCTGGTAATAATGTACCAACCCTGTACAATGTACCACTCCTGTAATGTAAGGTCTGGCCGCACCCAGCAGTCATTGCACCTTCGGCTTTTCTGGGGGATGTGAGAGAGGGTTTACCTTCCAGGCTGATAGTAAGGCACTGAGTCTGGAGACTGAGAGTTCTGGGGGATACTGAACTTCTTGATTCTCACTGGGACCTGGGTTGGACCAGGCTGATGGTCTCCCATCCTCCAAAGCATCATCCACTCTGCCTCCAGCCACCCTTCTTTGTATTGCTGGCCTCTCCTTTGGGCTTACAGTCTGCACTTGTGATGGCTACAGGTTCCTTCTTCAGCCTGCACCTTTTCTTTGCAAAGGGCTGCCCTTTCCTCTTTGTAATAATCCCATGTCCCCCTAAGAGTCCAGGTACACCTGTCCTGATAGATGGTAGATTTGTGACTTCACTGCTTTCTGAATAACTTTGAGAGACCTAAGGAACCAGAATTAATATAAATTGGTAGTGTTGTCTGTCATCACTACAGGTCTTAAGAGGACCAAAGGATATCCTTGTAAAAAGGATGGAAAATCAGATAAAGGGGAATAAACTCCCAGAGGTGGGAATTCTGACTATAAACCCAAAAGAGTGACCGTGAAGCTGCCAAAAAGTGTGGGAAGGGTCAGGGGTGTGGGTCACTTAATCTGGTTAAGAGTTTTGAAAACAGCATCAAGTCTCAGATTCTGCTTTGCTGCAGAGAGCCAACCCCTGCTGTGGGTTCCTGAACCCACTGAGCCTCACCCCTTCACACAGGCAGCCCTAACTCAGATGGGGAGGGTCGGTAGGGAGTAGACCGGCAAGTTTACCGTTCATCTTTGCATCTGAGGGGGATCATGGTCACTGTAGGTTCACTTTGCCTTCTGTACTCTGCATTGGGAGCCAGATTCTGAGCACACTGGGTACATTCTTCCTGCTCTAGGTCTACGCCCTGCCCTAGTGTGAAGCATGGTGACGAGTGGGGTGAACCTTCACGGTGTGACAGTGGGGACAGCTGTCAGTACTGCCATTCCCGCACAGAGCAGCAGTTCCATCCTGAGGTAGGCTCTGGCCAGATCTGGATGGGCTGATTAGAGGTTCAACAGAGGGCTTGCTGTGTGTGGGATTCTCATTGGAAGGGCTCATAGGACTCAGAAATGCCACTCAATGCACACGGTTGCATTACACTGTGAGATATATTAAATCAGCCTAGGAGGAGCTGGAAAAGAGGTTGGGAGGATGGAGGTGGGAACAACCCCCATGGAGTGAGAGAACTAGGCCCTCCATGAATTTTTGGAGACACTACATATCTGTTTTGCAGCTGGAAGTGCCCACACAGTCTGTGATTGCTGCTGTGTGCTGAGCAGCCAGCTGTGCTCTTCTCACAGAAACCCAGATCAATAAGCTTCCATATTCTGTCTTATTTTCTAGATCTACAAATCCACAAAATGCAACGACATGCGCCAAACTGGCTACTGCCCTCGGGGCCCTTTCTGTGCCTTTGCACACGTTGAGAGTAAGTAGACAACCTCTAGCCTCTCGGGGCTACCTCAGCCACCATGTGGCCACATCCACAGAGCCTCACAGTTTTAGCTCACCAAAGCCAGCTTTGAGAACCAGGAAAGAGTGGTGTCTCAGGACTGTACATAATGTCATGCCCATCTAGATGGCTAGGGTGGTGGCTCATGCCATATGGCTGGACCTGACTTGCACTTTGCACCTCGGACAGGCCAGACCTGCAGAACTTAGAGGGACACTTGCCCCAGGCCTACTGGGCCCCACTTCCCTCAGGGAGGTGCAGGTCTGTTTGTCATTCACCTGTTCACCTACACCTTCCCCTGAGCTACTGTTCTAGTGGAATTTAGTGGCAGTGGCTCTGTGGAGTCAGTGTCTGTCTATGTAGCTGGAGGAGACACCAAGATATCTTAATTAGGCTTGGCTAGCTGCCCCAAAGCCTAGTAGTCAGTAATTGTCACATAGGCTCATAATAGATTCTCTAAAGCTGTCCCCAAACTCTGGAGTTTGGGTTCTGGTGATTATAAAGTAGTTACGAACTCAAAATTCACTTTCTGTCTCAGTTGGGATGGCAGCTGTTGGGAATGTTTCATATTAAAATTACTGTATCCAAATGACACTCTTTGGTGGCTAGAGAGATGGGTCAGTGGTTAAAAGTATGTACTGCTTTTGCAGGAGACAGGTTGAGTTCCTAGCACCCACATCAGACCCACAATCACCAGGGTCTCTATTGCACTCTTAAGGACTCTGGGGTACCTGCACTCATATGTATATACCCCCACAGAGACGCACATATACACATAAAATATAGATTTTAAAAAATAAATCTACTTGTTTTTATGTATGTGTTTGCATGTATTTATGTACACCACATGCATACCTGATGCCTGCAAAAGCCAAAAGGTATTGCATTCCCTGGAATTGGAGTTATAAATGGTTGTGAGCTACCATGTGAGCTCTGGGAACTGAACCCAGGTCCTCTGCAAGAGCAGCAAATGTTTCTAACCATTGAGCCACCTCTACACTCCCTAAAAAGAAATCTTTAAAAAAAAAAAAAAAAAAAAAATTAAATGGCCCTTTGAGGACTGGCCTGCTATCCAGAAAAGGGGAAGTGTTTACAACACCAGCATGTTCTCTGCACCTATGCTATGGGCCAGCTGGGAGCCCTGTAATGCCAGCTGCTCTTTCTTCTTGGTAGAGAGCCTGGGAATGGTGAATGACTGGAGCTGCCGTGATCCCAATTCCAACAGCACCTCAGCTTACAGCAACCAGCCTGGAAGTGTAAGTGGACATCACTTGGCTTCATCACATTGTTGGGGACAGAAATGAGATGACATTTGGGTGGTATAGTTGGAGGCAATCTACATGTGTAGTTGTGGTTCCTTCTAGAAGAGTCTAGAAAAATCCTGGCTATATTCTTGCCTGGGCTTGAGCAAGACACACCCCTGATATGATTGATGACTGGAGGGATCTTACTTTAGCAGGTGCCCAGTGCCTTGCCTTCCTCATCTCTGTAGATCCCTTGGGCTGTTGGGCTGTTGGAAGTCAACAGTAAATGATATCTAATGTAGCATGCCCAGTCTGTGTTACTCAACACTCCCAAGTACTGAATGAGGGCATAGTATATCCGATGAGTATGATGAGGATGGATGGTCTCATCTTACTTAGAAATCACTTCTTATTCATGCCAGAGTCAGCCACTAGAATAATCCTGAGGAGAGCATCCAATTTGGGGACTAGCTTCTCAAACATGTACTAAAACTAGTATTTAGTTCTAAAACTGTTTGAATAACATTGAAATATTCCTGAATTTGCTGGGCAGTGTTGGAACAGGTCCTTAATCCTAGCACTCAGGAGGTAGAGGTAGACAGATATCTGAGTTCTAGGCCAGCCTGGTCTACACAGTGAGTTCCAGGACAGTCAGGGCTACACAGAGAAACCCTGTCTCAAAAAACAAAAATTCCCAAATTTGTTGAGTAGAGCCACTTGTGGGTGTCACTGCAGTCTCTTGCCAAGGCCACTTGTGTTGGGTGCACCCTGCATCTGTCGACAGACCCTGAGACTCTGGAAGTGACTGTTCATGGTCTGAGGTTTAGTCACTTGTTCTTTTGCCCCTTCTACCTGAGGATGGTCCTTTGTAGCTGACTGTGCAGCATCTGGATCTGTCCTGGGTGCGCCAGGTGTCCTCTGCTAGTGTCAGCTCAGGGCATGGAGGAGGTGCAGGGCAGCTCCATAAGACTTTGATAAGGCACTTCCAGTGCCTTCTGTGATACTTCTGGTATCAGTGAGATGCTGCTGGTAGCAGTGAGATGTCCTGGGGTCTCTTTCCTGGAATGTGTGGTGGTGGGCCTGGAGGCAGCATCTCTACATCCATTCCTGCTTTGGTGCCTGGAACTCTGCTGGTACTCTGTATACCCAGAACTTGCCACCTTTCTCTTGGGATTGTCACAAAACCCTCATAGGACCACCTTGAATGCCTGGAGCTATCCTCCCTCAAGAAGGTACAGCTGGGTCTCCCTTGGGCAATACCCACACTCCTGTGCAGAGTCAGCCTCAGTGCTGTTTGTCTCAAACAGGAGACCAGGGTTTTCTAGTTCTAGATCCCAGCACGAATTTGACCACTCATATGAGAGCGTGTTTAAGTGGTGAACTCCCAAGGCCCTCCCAGGCCTTTTTACTGAACTACTCCTTGGCTCTTGGTGCATGTGCAGGGCCCCACAGACTGTCAGCCTCTAGTGGGAGGCACTTTGGTACCAATAGACAAGAGCCATGAAGATACTTTCTTGGTCTTCACAAGTCTTTGAGGACTTGTATTTTTTTGGTGTTTTATTTTGGGGGTTGTTTGTTAGTTTTTGTTTTGAGACAAGGCCTTAAACTTACAGTCTTCCTGCTCCAGCCTCCCTTGTGCTGAAATTAAAAGCCTGGGCCAGCACCCTAGCGCCAGTATTTTCTAAATTCTAAGTGAAGTGTAGGTCTGCATGTTTTCAGAAGATGTCTCTTCCTTGCCCTTCCAACCTGAGTGGTCCTTCTCTTGCAGGCCAAACGGAAAGACTCCCCCTCTGAAGGAATCCAGAAAGCTAGTGAGGACAGCAAACAGGTACAGTTCTGGGGCCATGTGGCTGTGCAGCTAGAGAGCATGGCTTTCTGTTAGATCTTTCCATATACTGTGTGGTCTGTAAATGGAGTTCTTAATTTGTCTAAGTAATAAAACCTGGAGTCAGATATACAGGAAAATGCTGAGAGATCAGAGAGAGGAAGGAGCAAACCATTGCCACACCTTACCTCCTTAGCATCTCAGCTGACGAGAGCAAGTGCCTGTTTCTCTCTCCTTATATCCGCCCAGCTATCTGACTTCTGCCTGTCAGTACAGACCTCCAGATCTCTGTAGTTAGCTAGTGGCAAGCTCAATTCTCTGACCTTCAAACAGGCTTTATTAGTACAAGCAAGATATCACCACAGTGGTCTTGCTCTACCACTGAGGTGAGTCCCCAGTCCTAGTGCCTATTTGTTCTGTAATTACCTTTTCCTTTTGCTCATATTTGTGTCCTTTGTTTTGTTGTTAAAAATATTTAAGCTAGGTGGCAGCGGTGGCGCACTCCTTTAGTCCCAGAACTCAGGAGGCAGAGGCAGGAGAATCTCTGTGAGTTCAAGGCCAGCTTGGTCTACAGATAGATTTCCAGATAGCCAGGGCTATACAGAGAAACCTTGTCTCAAACCTCCCCTCAACCCAAAAGGAAAAAAACAAGAATGTGTCCTTGAAAACAACAAAACCAAAGCCTTCTAGCATTTTTCTCTGGGAAACACAGGCCCTGCAGAGCCTGTGTATCAACCAGCTATAGCTACTGTGTCTCAGAAAGAGGATTAAGCAACAGAACTCTATTTCCAAGTCCCAAGGTTAGATACTGAGGTCTAGGTGGTGTCAGGCACACAGACTTGTATATTCTCTGTGGCCTCACAGTGTTATCCCTGTGTGCATGTCTTTGTCCTCATGTCTTACAAGGACACTGTTCCCCCAATCAGTAACCTCATCCTAACCTACCAAATCTATAAAGACTCATGTCACCGGGAGACAGAGGCAGGTAGATCTCAGAGTTTGAGGCTAGCCTGGTCTACAGAATGAGTTCCAGGACAGCCAGGTTACACAGAGAAACTCTCTCAAAAATTAAAAAAAAAAAAAGGCTCTTATATACAGATTAGGTCACAGCTAGATGTCCTAGTAGTAAGAATTCCCACATAAGGATTTAGGGGACACTGTTTAGCTCACACCTCCATGCTCAAGAGCCTGGCTTGTTTCTGGGAGTGGATATCCATTGTTCTGGGGATCCTCCTATCTGAGGGAATATAGCCTGTCTGTGTTCATTAAAGCTCCTTCGAAATGCCCAGTCCTGTGGTGGGGGCTTCATGTGTCCCATCCCCAGGGCCTCTCTCCAACCAGTTTGGCTTTCATATATTAGTTCAAACTAAGTTGCCTATTTTAGGAAACAGGGATTTTTGTCTTGACAGTGCTGCCCTAATAACTCAAGGTGATTTGTGTTTCCTCTTCACTGTAAAAGAACAGTGAGTGTTCCAAGGCTCAATGGTCCATGCCTGTAACCATTACTTGGTAGGCCATGTCAGGAAGGTCATGAACCAAACTACACAGTCCCTACCTCAAAAATAAATAGCAGTCATCATTGATTTAAAGATTGCTCTGGGTGGTGTCACTTCTTCTCCTTTCTGTGGAAAAGTTTTTATCCTCCCTTGTTTTCTGCTCTCCTCATGGAGCCAGGGAAGGGAAGGAGGGTGTGGTGTTCATGGGTCACAAGGACAGAGTATCATATCAGTTGGGGAAGGGGAAGGATTTTGGAAACTGGTGGTGATGGTGCTTGCACATGTAAATAATGCCACAAAGGTATATACCAGGAGCCATGTCTTGTGGTGCAGGCACATAAAATCTCATCTACTTGAGAGACCTCAGGCAAAAATATTACTATGAGTTTAAGGCCAGCATAGGCATAGTAGTAAGGGATTGTCTTAAAGGTTAAAAATAAAGAGCTGGGGGTGTAGCTCAGGGATAGAGTGCTTACCTAGTATCTTAGTCAGGGCTACTACTGCTTGGCTGGCTGGCTGGCTGGCTGGCTTCCTTTCTTCTTTCCTTCCCTTCCTCCCTTCTTCCCTTCTTCCCTTCTTCCCTTTTTCCCTCCCTCCCTCCCGGGTTTCTCTGTGTAACAGCGCTGGCTGTTATGGAACTCACTCTGTAGACCAGGGTGGCCTTGAACTCACAAATATCCACCTGCCTCTGACTCCCAAGTGCCGGGATTAAAGGTGTATACCACCACACTGCCCAGCTAGCTTGCTTTCTTATAGAATTCAGGGCCACTGGCTCAGCAATAGCCCCAACCACAGTGGCCTGGGTCCTCCCCCCCAGCAATCACTAAATGAGAAAATGCCCAGGGCTGTAGAGATGGCTCAGTGATTAAGAGCACCAGCTGCTTTTCCAGAGGTCCCAGGGTCACATGGCAACTCTAACTGTCTGTAATTCCAGTTCCAGAGGATCTGACAGACATACATTCAGACAAAGCACCAATGCACATAAAATAAGAGTAAATAATTTTTAAAAATAATAATAAAAGAAAAATGCCCTATACCCAGACCTTATGGAGGCATTTTCTCAGTTGAGCTTCTCTCCTTTCAGATAACTATAGCTTATGTCAAGTTGACATAAAACTAGCTGGCACGCCTAGTATATGAGACCCTAGGTTCAGTTCCTAATACCACAAAGGAGTGTATACTTAAGAATGATTAAGGACAACCAGATGGTTCCGCAAGTAAAAGAGCTTGTCACCATGCATAATGACCTAGTTTTGATCCCTGAGACCCACAGATAGGAAAAATCTGACTCCCATGAGTTGTCCTCTGGCCTGTACATACATGTATTCATACACATATATTCTTTCTCTCGATAAATAAAATGAATAAAACCTAGAATGGTTAAATGATTACTTTTATCTTATGTATATTTTTAACAACAAAAAGAGAAGGAAGAAAGGAAAAAAGAAAGGAGAAAGAAAAGCCAGGCAGACAAGGCTGTCTTTAGAGGAGGAATATCTTTTGGTGATGTCTCTCTGGCCTTAGCCAGCTATGTCTGACAAGGATGATGTTACTGATTTTCAGGGTCAAGCATCCTTCATGAGGAAGAGGGGTGCATCTTCTGCTGGTATGATTGGAGGGTGCTGTCATAGTGTGTACTGTGAGGCAGGACTGTTGTGCTCCTTGGTACCACATGTGCTAATGAGGAGAAGCCCAGGTGTGGTTGTCCCTCTCAGACACATCTGGGAAAGAAGAGGCTGGTGTCTCAGTGCCCTAGGCAGGTCCCAATGCCTCAGGCTGTCTGTCAGTTCTCAGTTGGGGCCCTGGTGTCCCACAGCCCAATTAATATTGCTGGTATACTCATAGTGTGGAGCATGAGCCACCATCTTGGTCTATCTACTGCCCTCAGACCAGCTGTATTGATGTCTTGGCAATAACATCATGCCAACTTACAAGTCTTCTGCATTCTAGGCCTCTGGTTTAAGGCCTAGGAAGGTTTTGTTTCATTTTAATTTTTATTATTTTATTGTATGTGTATAGATTTTTTTTTTTTTTTTTTTTTTTTGTCTGCAAATATGCCTCTGCACCACATGCATGCTTAGTGCCCACAAACATCACAAGAGGCCATTGGATCCTTGGGAAGTGGAGTTACAGATGATTGTGAGCTGCTATGTGGGTACTGAAAATCAAACCAGGCTCCTTTGGAAGAGCAACTTAACTGCTGAAGTATTAAAATCCCAGGAGTGACAAAACACAGATTCTTCCTGGGATTCTAAGCAACAGGCCTTAAAGTTGCTTCTCAACTAAACCAGGACCTTATGGGGGTGACATGCTCCCCATTATTTGGAAAGAAGTGCATGTGTTCTTGTGGTATTGGGTTTAGGTAAGGTCTGAAGTTTAAGATAGATGGAGGAAGGGTGAAGTAGTGGTTGTGGTCTAGGATGTTGGCCTGGGATGAAGTCCTAGAATGGATTTCAGCCTAACTGGGCCACTGGTGAAGGAGGTGACTGAGAGACAGTACAGGTACCTACAGCTTCTGTACCTGGTACCTGCCTAATGGGGTTACCACTAAACTGTTGATTTCCAGCTATGCTGTGTGATCTTGTCATTTATAGAGAGCTGGTTCACTCCATGCTAGTAATAGTTACTTTCAGCCCATGGTCAGTGGCTGTGACTTGCTGATAGAGAACACCTGTCCTCTCTTTGACCCAGGCACCTCTGTCATTCCTGAGTGTGAGGTCACTGGTTACCCTTGTGGGACTCATGGGGGATGTGAATGCTCCGGTGATGGCTTAGAGAGGTGTTATGAAGCCTAAGATGCATGGGCTGCTTTCTTTTGATGTGAAGATTCCAGGTTCAGCACATAGGTTTGATTTTGATGTAAGTGTCCATTGTACTGAGACATGCTGAGGGCCCCCAGCCCTGCTGCATTGTTCCCTGAATCTAGCCTGGTATCTTAAGACTTGTTTTATCAGCTGGGCGTTGGTGGTGCACACCTTTAATCCCAGCACTCAGGAGGCAGAGGCAGGCAGATCTCTGAGTTTGAGGCCAGACTGGTCTACAGAGTGAGTGCCAGGACAGGCTCCAAAACAAAACAATACAGAGAAACCCTGTCTCGAAAAAACAAAAACAAAAAAAGGCTTGTTTTATCTACAATCTCTCAAACAGAGATGGTACCAGTTTTCTTCATTGTTCAGTTTTTTGACCACTGAGTGGGTAAAGACTGGGGAGGGACACAGGCTCCTGGGAGGCTTGGGAGAAGGGTTGGCAGGCCCTCAGCCTCTGGCCTGTCATAGATTTTTGTGTCAGCTGGGTAGGTTTTGTCAACAGATACTTTCCAGGTCTGTTTGCCTGAGTGACAGCAAGACAACCTGTCATGGTCAGTGCATGCTAGTGAACAGTTTCCATCCCTCTGCAACACTCTGAGATGTTGCCTGTTCTAGTGTGCGTCTCTGCCACTGTTATGCTCCCAACAGCATTTGCTCATATTGTTTGTGTTTTTGAACAGAACCACCTCGCTGTGTTCTCAGTGGTTCACCCACTGGCCCCCAGCATAAGCTCCAGTGTGGCATCTAGCCTGGCATCAAGCACTGGCTCAGGTAGCTCCTCCCCCACCGCTCTGCCTACCCTCCCTGCCCGTGCTGTCCCACTGGACCCAGCTGGCAACACTGTGGAGGCAGTCCTAGGTAAGTCCACACTTCTCTTCCTCTCACAACTTTTCATACTGTGTTATAGATGTTCAGGGTGCACTGCTCTGTTGAAAAGCCAAGACATGGTTTTGTTGTCTCTCAATTTAAATCACTCGGTGCTCTGCAGTGCTTGGGACTGCAGGATATGTGGAACCCATACCACATATGGCATGAAACACCGAAGAACTATGGCAAGTGGACCTTTGTCCCAGAGGCCACAGGACAATGAGGAGGTTAGTGAGATGTGGGAATGGAAATCATGATGAACTAAAGGTGTAGATGATGACAGGGTGGAGAGTGGTAATGAAGCCTGGAACAGGTAAACACAGCTTCATGCTGGGAGTCATCCACTGAGGGAGGACCAATGTGGTGGTAGCTAGGCCAGGATGATATATCAGGGCTTGAACAGGAGACAAGAGCCTGGGCACAAAGGCCAGGATGAGTTAAGCAGATAGATTCAGTCCAAAAGGGGTGATGGACCCTTGCGTTGGTGTGTACACAGGTGCTTCTGAGTCACAGGTAGCTTGCTCTGAGCTGCTGCATTCTGTGGTTACCAGGGCCTAGTTGACCCAAGCCTGAGTTGGTTTTGGTTTGTTTGGTTTGGTTTTTCAAGACAGGGTTTCTCTGTGTTAAAGCCCTGGCTGTCCTGGAACTCTTATTTGTAGACCAGGCTGGCCACAAACTCAGAGATCCACCTGCTTCTGCCTCCTGAGTCCTGGGATTAAAGGCATGCTCCATCACCATCTGTTTTTTTGTTTGTTTTTTTTTTTTTAGATATTATTTGTTTTTATTTTACATATATGAGAGTTTGCCTAAAGGTTTGTACTGCATGCATGCATTGTCTGTGGATATCAGAAGGAGGGAATTGGTTCTCCTAGAAATGGAGTTAGAGATAGTTGTGAGCTGCCTTGTGGGTTCTGGAAATGTAACCTGGGTCCTCTGGAAGAGTAGCTGGTGTGCTCTTAACTACTGAAGTATCCTTTCAGCACCCAAAGCCTGTATCTTGCCCTGACCATGGAAGATACTGGGAGATACAAAAAAGAATGACATTTGTGTTGATTTCATACTGGAAATGTTAAGCCCTGAAAAGTTAAGCCCTCTAGCTTGGAGCAGGTCATGCTGCCTAGGGCCCAGAGTAAAGGTGTCCACGTTGATATGCAAGTAGCAAAGTGGCAAGCCACCCAAATATAGAGATGTGTCACTAAGCCTCCCACAAGACAGCACAACTTCTATCCTGCTAGAGTCCTACATTGGATGCATATTGGGGATGATGCCACTAGTGCTGTCAGGGGAGAGCTCTCTTCACCATCCTCAAGGGACATTAAAGACAGTCCTGTACTATTCTGTGGAGACTGCTAGGGAATCCTGGAGCTGGTGAGTGTGCTTCTGTGGCTCCTGGGAAAGCACTGTGGGCTCAGTACCTTTCCATCCTCATTTTCACTCAGGATAGACTCTGGCTCTTCCATTCTGCCAAGGGTCTTTTCTAAATCACTGCATAATCCGTGGCTAGTGTGGTGTCCTTCCCCCTGGAAGCCCTAGGTTCCCATGGGGTTTCTATGTGGGTCTCGTCTTCTGGAGAACCCTCTAAAATTCAGCCTTACCTGCCCTCAGGAGGTCATGGAGACAGTGGGAACCTCCAAGAACCCACCACCTCCCTGTCACTGCTGCTGGGTTCAGGGAGGGAGGAAGGGGCATTCTTTAGGTCCCAGGTGCTCTGTTGACACCTACAGATGCCATAGGTACATCCTTACACAGACAGACCTATGTCTGGGTTTTGGGCCTGTCATACAGTTACCTGAGGTGCTTGCTTACAGCCTCAAGCCCCTTGATGGTCCCTTGATGCTCTAGAGATCCTGCTGGCCTCAGGACCTACCAGTCCTCCATCCCTCTGGTTTTCTAGTGTAAAAGTAAAGAAGTAAAGAGGATACATAAGGGAAAAATGTTGAGGGAATGTTAGGTCTCCATTCCTGAACAAGCAGACTGTTTGGGCTCACCAAGGTGAAGGGTTGAGCCAGGTGCTATGAACATTGAAAGTATCTCAGAAAGACCTGAATTTTCTGGCGTTTCAGACTGACAGATGTTAACATATTTGCAGTAGTTCTTCTAGTCATTATTTAATATGCAATACATTTTTAAAATTAGTTTTGCATCAAATTTACTAGGCCACTTGTCTTCATTTTATGGACATTGTATTGTAGTTTCTGCTTCCTAGTTAAAATAGTGAACATTGCCTCTCACTGTGAGACCCCTCAACCTTCCTAGCAGAGGTCCCCTAGCTGGGTACTGTAATCTCAGTGCTTGGAATGCTGAGGCAGGAGGATCACTTTGAGGCCTCTTAGACGTGTGTATCAAGACCCTCCCTGTCTCACACAAAATTAAATCATATCTGTAGGGGTTCTGTCTTCAGCATTGCTTGACACAAGAAGTCAGTGGGCTGTTTTCCCAATGATAGGTATCCATGGTTCCTAGGCAACAGGACAGTCCCTGCCTCTCTCTACCCAAAAGCTAGCCTAACCCACTTGCCTCCTCCCCATGGAATTGGCCCTCTCTCTGGTTCTTTTTCAGTTTTAAAGGGCTGGTGATGAGGGGGTAGACTGGAGGACAGTGTCTTTGTAGGTTCCTTCTAATTAAATGAAGCCAAATGCAGAGCCTGCATACTTAAGAGGTGCCAGGAAAGCTGGTTCTGGTAGTCAGTGTGAACACGCCTCTGGTTCCATGAGCACGCCCCCTATGCTCTGCCCATCCTCCCCTTTCCACCTCCGATTCTGCCCCCCTCCCGCCCCACCCCCACTCCCGCTAGTGGAGCTTTCAGCGGAAACCTTGCCTCTTTAGCACACCTGGTAATCAGGTGCCGTGGGCGCCGTGACCTGGTGCGGGGTGGGGGTGGAAGGTTACACAGCGTGAATGGGCGGGGTCTGGCCGGGGGCAGCGGCTGGAGAGGGCGGAGCGCGAACCAGGCAGGTTTGAATCCTCCTCAGTGAAGGCCGGGGCTGCGGAGGATATGAGTCAGCATTGACAGCGGCTGCGGCAGATCCAGGTCTCGCGTCAGCCGGGCACCAAGTTGTGGGTCGTCATTTTTCAGCGCTTTGGAACAGGCACGCGTTCTGTCTCCTCTCGAGGTGTGCGTCCCTCTCTCCGGTTTGTGTCCTCTTGGGGGCTTCTGTCCTACACCTACATCTTCCCCTGGTGGTGGTTCCCCCTTGACTGGCACCTCCCCTTGAGGTCGTCCTGGTTGGCCAGCGTACCCCCAGGTAGTTTCCCTTCTAAGTGCACCCCTCCATCTTGGTGGGCATCCCTTCATGTCTGTTCCTTTAAAAATGCATGTCTCTCCAAGTGCATGTTCCCTGGAAGCTGTTCATTTACTTCTTTTGCCATGAGATCATGAGATGGATACCAGGTTTTTCAGATTACAGGAGGTTAATTAACCTACATGCCTACTCTTACAAACTTGCCTTTGTTGGTGCTGCTTACCAGGCCCCTGTTGTCATCAAGGTGGTCCTCATGCAGCCTGTCTCTAGAGTACTGGTCCCTCCAGTTGCTCCTCTGTTCTGTAGCTGCAGGTAGGGAAGGCACCCATCCTGTCTTGCCTTTAACTCCTTCTGCAGCCTGTGTGGTTTGCCACTTCATGTATCCCTGACCCCAGAGAACTGCAGCACCTTTGGAATGTGCTGTGTCATATTGGGAACTGGGGTTGCCTGGGACAATCTCAGCTCTCTTCTGGTTGCTCTTGAGGTCCAGGTGGCTTCAGGTCATTTGGTGGAGCCAATTCTGAGGCAGACAGCACAGCCTGGCTCTCAGACTCTTGTAGTTTACAAAAGAAAGCTCGGCTGGATTTCCTTTCTAAGTTGGTTCTTCCTTTAAGTATGATTCAGAAGTGCTGGATTTATGAGGTTGGAGAGAAGAGCCTGGGGTACTAGTTGTAGGATGGGTTCCTGAAAAGCACTCAAAAGAGTTGGGGAGCCCCTTGGCTCTGAAAGAGGGCTGACAGGGCCCAGAGGCTCCTCAAATGTCCCCTTTTAGCAGTAACCTTGCCGGGCTCCAGGGCAGTGGCTCACACCCAGTGCTAGGCTTCTGTTGGGGACTGATTGCAGTATGCTTCTGTCTCATCTTAGCGCCTCTAAGCTCTATGTGCTGTGTACAGCAAGGCTACCTCTGCACCTAGGACTCTGTGCTGAGCCACAGAGATGGTGACCAGATTGAATCATCCCACTTCCTTGCCTTCCTTTGCTCCTTAGTTCTTCAAAATGAGTTTTTGCAACTTTGCCAGGGGCTCAAGAGCAGTGGAACTGTCCCCTCACTTAGTTCTCCAGGCTTTAGGTGCAGAGGCTGTTGGTGCAGGCTGTCACCTCCCTGCTCCAACTCAGGTGTAAAGGATGGGCTGGGGCCTCTGTGCAGGGAACAGCAGAGGCGGGATAGGCAGTTTGCTGTGTGCATCCTTTGGTCAGCTCTGTCCAGACGTACTGGTTCAGCACACAGGGTTTGCAGACTGAAGGGATCTGGGACTAGGGGGACATGCTCTGCAAAGAATATGAAGAAGTGCTGTGGCCAGGGAGGACTCACCAGGAAGCTTTGGCCAGCTCACTCAGGGCCTCCAGCTTGAGAAGCTAGAATTCCACACAAGACAGGATTGTTGCTGCGAGTTTTAGGCAGCTACAGGGATGGCCAGAGGATGGGTGATGGCAGCCATGAAAGCTGATTTGGGTCTTAGTTGGTATGGGGTAGAGAAAAAGAGCTGTGCTTAGCTTGCTGTCATTGAAGAAGGGACCCTGAAGCATACCTACTCTTGGGAAACACCTGTTCTCCCCAGCAGACTGAGAGATGAGATCCTGGAGGTAGGATGTGGTACTGGGGGATAGCCATTTAGGACATGGAGATCCACCAGAGAAGACTACTTCAACATGGATTTAAGTCACGTGGATTTATTGGCCAGCTGGAGACTACACTGAGTGTTTGGGACAAGTACAGTCCCAAGCCTTTTCAGGGTGTGTTTTTGAGTATAGAATCTACATTCTGGGTTGAGACACCTCAGTTAGAAAGAACAGTTAGCCAGAAGCAAGGCTATAGAAACCAGAAAACAGGATTAGTACATTTAGGGACTTGGATGGGTTAGGCTTCTGATCTCGTTTTGGCAGGTTCTCATTTTGCTGCATGCTTACTGGGTTTTAAGGCCTGGATGGCACTCTGTCATGTCATCAGTTGTGCTAAGATCTTGGGGCTTACTAAGGTTTTGGGGTCCTGCTATCATAGGGTTTCAAAAGCCACTGTATAGTCTATGAACAAGACTGTGGCAAAGGCTGCAAGTGGCCCCCACCCCAGGGAGGCTATGTGAGTGGGGATGCAGGGAATGCAGGCTCAGTAGGGAAGAAGGAGGTCTGCAGAAATAAGTGCCTTGCAAGAGGCAGAACTGGACAGAAGGGTCTAAAAGGCAGAGCAAAGAGTAGGAGTTGAGGAGGTATAAGAGTGAGAGAGGTAGGAAACTGAGCAGAGATGGCTACTGAGGAGCAGGAGCTGGGGGCAGATGCCCTGCCAGAATTTAATCCAGTTTGGCATGTGTTCACAGCAAGGAACAGGCAGTTCTTTTGAGTGGAGAGCAGGGCCTGGAATCCATGGGGCAGACATGATAGGGGAGGGTCTTCAGGTGGGATTCCTTTTTTGTGGGTTGAATTGTATCCCCCAAAAAGATGAATCTAGGGCTAGGAATATAGTTCAGTGGTAGAGCATTTGTCTAGACTGTGAGGCTCAAGTTTGATTACCAGCATTGGAGGATACATCTGTGAATGTGTCCCCATTTGGAAATGGGATCTTTGTCATCAAGTTAAGGTGATGTCATTAGAGCAGGCCCTGATGTAGTGATGGTATCCTTCTAAGAAATATGGACACACAGGTAGAGAACAGGATTGTGACAGTGGAGAAAAAGTCAGAATCTGTGTGGCCACACACCAAGAAGATCTGATGCCCCAGGGACTACAGCGATACTTCCTAAGCCAGTAGAAAGTGCTGGTAGCTCTGTACACTTTGAGTTTGAACTTCAGGCCTATAAGACAATAAACTCATGAGCTGAAGCTACCAAGTGGGGGTCCTTAGTCCCCACAAGCCCAGGATACCTTGGTCAGTTGAAAGCCCAGAACACCCACATCTCTCCCAGGCTATTTGAAAGAGGTCGCTGAGGTAGTAATAGGAAGCACTTACAAAAGAAGGATCTCAGAAGCTCTGTCAGGGACAGGTGTCCAACATGGGGAGACACCAGGAATCAGGAAACCTGTTCAGGCCTGTGCCATTAGTTAACACTGGGACAGTGGCCTGCTTTGTCCTGATTTGCTTCTGCATTTGGACTCTGATGGTGAGTTTCCCCAGAAACCTGGTTTTTCTCTCCTTATCGTGGTTCTCTTCTGCCAGTCATCATATTAGTGCCTGGTTTCCATGGCCCAAGGACATCAGGAGTTACAGAAATAGGTGCTGGGCAGCCCTATCTTGCCCATGCTTTATCTTAGTTTTCTTATGCCTATATTGTATGGGGTGAAAAGGCCTGAGAGTGGTTCTTATCTAACACTGTTTTTGAGGGTGTCGGGGTTCAGGGTGTCAAGTGTCTAGGCAGGGGCCCTGGGCTCTAGGTCTCAGGACCATGCCAGCTTGCCACCCTGCTCACTCAGCTCTTCTGAATTAGATTCAGAAGGCTTATTGGAATAACTTCTCTTTAGAGTGGTTGCCTATATATATTTCTCTCACCTGGGCCTCCTGAAGGGTGGAGACCCCTGCCCTGAGTACAGCTCTAGTTCCTTGATTACCTGGTACAAGGGGGGATGTTTTCTACTGGGTACTTTAGCAGCCTGGCCTCAGTTCCGTGAAGATTCCTGAGACCCTTGTCTGAGTGAGTAGTTATTTTCACAGCTCCAGGAGTGAGGGGGACATGGCTAGGCCTGAGGGAGCTGGGATCCAATTGTGCCAGTAGCTCTAGGAATGAGTTTAGAAACAACAAAAGTAAGCCAAAGGCTGATTCTCTCTGGTGTGAGCCAGCATAATGGGTGTCACACAGCCATGAAGCTCTTCTCGGAAATCAGGAGCATCCATCCGGCTTCCTCTTGGTGGAGTCACTGAGAACCAGTATCAGAAGAGGTGTGTTCTGTGTTTGGCTCAGGTGGCCACCACAAGGCTGAACAATGCTTACTGGTCCTAAGAATGATAATCAGAGACCAGGAAAGGACAGTATAACTGGGGTAGAGCTCCGTATGCCCCCATGCAGGTCGCCACAACTCTGAAGTGAAGCTGGGACTGTAGCAGTGTCATCCTCTGTTTCTCACTGATTAGGGTGTCATTTGCATTCCAAGCCACTTCTTGGTTGCAGCTCTACTGTGAATTGGTCTAGTGCACTGGCCCCTGCCAGTCAGTGCCTCCTTCACTTTCATGATGGACATGCTGGTAAGGATAGCTCTCTGTAACCAGGTCAGCATAAACATCTTCGCTTCCAACTGTCTAGTATGTCATCGTGTCCATTAGGGACTTCATGTGAAACTTCTCAGGCAAAGCTGTCACTGTTCAGTGGCATATTGGTGGCCAGCATACCCCTACTGCCCAAGGGTGATTCTCTACTTAGCACAGAGAGATTTCCTTACAGCCTATGTACTGGCATCCATTATAGAGAGGTTCTTTGTAGCCAGCAAGGGAAGACCAGATCCTTCAGGGATAATTTATGGTAACCTATGGCATCTTTTTTGTTTGTTTTTTAAGATGGGCTTACAACATATCCCAGGCTGACCTGTAACTCTCAATCCTTCTGGCTTTGCCTCCCAGGTGCTGGGATCACAGGCATATGCCACAGGCATATGTTATCTTGAGATCTTGGAAACTGGGGGGGGGGGGGCTTAGCCAACAGTAGGGATAGGACTGAACCACATAGCATAGACTGCACCAATGCACCGTGAAACATTAGAATGAAGAGTGGGTAGGAGAGACAGTAGTCACCATGGCAAAGCTACAGTCTCATTGCTTCTCAATGCAAGGTTCCTCTATGTTTAAATTTGACTATGACTGTATTAAGAATGTGCCACCACTCACAGGCATACTCCTACAGCCAATTCCTGTCTTTCCTCCCCTCTGATGGCTGTGAAGGCCATTGGCACAAAGTGCTAAATTCTCCGCTACACTATCCCTGAATGGCAGCCCTGTTCTGGCTATGGGAGTTGGAAGCATGTCCTGGTTTCATCCTCCTAAAAATTCACTATGTAAACTGCATTGGCTTCAAAGTGTGATCTCCTGCCTTAGGTTCTGTAGTACTGGAATTATACGTGTATTCTACCATATCCAGCAACCTCTGCCCTTGACAAGGGCTGAGTGTGGAGGTCCTGTCTCCCTTACATCCTCAAGGTGTCATTATCTAGTGTTTAGCCTGAAATGGCCTCAGAACCATTTGCCTGTTGGAATTGACCTCCTGTAAAATTTTTAATAGTTGAATGTATTTTCTTAGTCAAATTTTAACAAGTTGTTAGAGGTAAAAGGAGCAGAGCTGGACATCTGGTACATTCCTGTATAATCCCAGCACTTAGGATGTGAAGCAGATCAGAAGTTCAGGTTGCCCTTGGCCGCATAGTGAGTCCAATCATGAGCTACATCAGATCCTGTCTCAAAAAAACAAAACAAAACAAAAACAACAACAACAACAAAAAGCAAACAAACAAAATGAAACAAACAAAACCAAACCTATGAAGCAGGACATTTGTGAGCCAGAGCTGTGTCTCTGATGGTAGCAAGGCCTGTTCAAATGAAATACCTCTGACTGTGGAGGAGAAAGCAGCATTGCTGGTCAGCAGAGGTAGGTGCTGCAGTGGAATGGCAGGGGGCTTGGTTTCTCTGTCTAGCGGGGTGTTGGTGGATATGAGGTTTGGCATTCCTTCTAAGAAGTTTTGTGTTCATGCTGGCTGAGTGGTGATTGTGTAACACTGGGTTTATCTCACAGGTTCTGCATTAGATCTTCACCTTAGTGACATAAATATCGCATCCTTAGATAAAGACTTGGAAGAGCAGGACCTTGGATTGACAGGTAAGAGTGATGACTGAGCTCAGTGGCACCTTTAACTTCATGCATGCTTCCTGGCTTACTGCAGGGGTTGCGGGGAGGCATCTGCTGGGATCCTCTTCTTTGAGTCTCTTTGCCTTTGCTACCATCCTATGTGGCTCAGTTTACCTGTGTTGTGACAAAGCAGCCCTTTAGACTTGGCTGGGGCCTCATGAAGAAACACAAGCAATTATTTTTATAACTGTACAGCATAGAGAGAGGTCCCTATTATTACATCATTTTCTTTATCCCAAAAGTTATTTTCTCTGTTTCAAGAAATCTACCCATTTTAGAGCCCTGGTGGCTCTGTGAGTACCATGCTAGTGGTGGATTCCTGACTCTGCCAGGACCACTGCCAGGACTCTCCTGAGTTGGTACTGACAACTGCACCCCTCTGGGTGGTCCTTGCTTGCTATCCTGGTTCCTCTGGTGTCTTCCGAGGTTTCCCTGATGTTCAGCTGCCTAGTTACTTACTGACCCACAGGCTTATTGGCAAGAGGCTCTGTGGCAGAAACCCTGCTTGCCCTTGCTCACTCAGCCTCCCTCCTCCCACCAGGTCCCAAGTCGCTGGCAGGCTCAGCACCCGTCACCATTCCAGGCTCTCTGCCCCGCTCGCCATCCTTGCATTCGTCCTCATCCCTGTCCACCTCCCCACTCAGCTCGCTCTCCCAGTCCCTGTCGGGGCCACTCGTCTCCTCGGCTATGACGCCCCCCCAGCAGCCACCACCCCTCCGGTCGGAGCCGGCTACACTGGGCTCTGCAGCCTCATCTTACAGCTCTTTAGGTGCGTGCCTGGGCGTGGGTCCCTCCCCGCCGGCTCTGGGTCCTGAAACAGGTCCTATTCAATTCAGTCCTGGGTATTTCTAACTGCAGGGCTTCTCACCTCCATAGTTCTGTCTTGAGAGGCACCACCTCCTCTAGCCTATGTAACATAGATGAGTGGACAGGCATGGTAGAAACGTCTACCATGGGACAGCTGGCTGCCCACAACTGGGCATTCTCACAGTGCTCCAGATCACCTCTTGCTTGCCAGCTCACTCAGGGCTCTGGGTGGGGCATACATGGAGTTCCCTTGTGGTCCCCACAGGCACAGTGTTTAGGATTCATTGTTTGATACAGGCTATGAGAAGGAGCTGGTATGACAGATCAGCAGGACTCAGTCCTCTGCTCTCATATTTCCACTGAGAGGCTCTTCACATCTTCCATAATCTATTATATTTACAAATGTGCCCATCTCCAGATGTGTCATCTTAACTGATAGTTCACATCTGTGGGCTGACCTTAGAACTAGTGCTCTTCTGAATCTCCAGAGTCTGCTATATAATGAGAACTACTAGGGCTAGGAAATCTAAACCTATTTTTCTGTTCACACTATCTTCCTGAGTCAATTGGGCCTAATTTAGGGGAATCAAGAGTCTTGGAGACCAGTCTTCAGCAGTCATGAGCAAATAACTTACAGGGTACCAAGGTGGGTGGCCAGGTGAGGGACAGAACCTGCAGACACTTCAGGCCCTGGGTGCAGCATGGGCTGTATCATCCCTGTCTCTCCTGTTCAGGTTTGAATGGCGTCCCTGGGAGCATCTGGGACTTTGTTTCTGGCAGCTTCTCTCCTAGCCCATCCCCTATTTTAAACTCTGGCCCTTCGGCTTCCTCAAATGCAAGTCCAAACAATGCTGAGCTGGCAAGGGTCAGGCGACAGCTAGATGAAGCCAAAAGAAAGATCAGGCAGTGGGAAGAGTCTTGGCAGCAAGTAAAGCAGGTAAGCATGTGGGAAGGGAGGGGCTGGCCATGTAGGTGAGGGAAGAAAGGGGTTTGGATACTCAGGCAGGGCAGGCAAGCATGTGGAAGGCCAGGCATGGCTGCCTCCTGCATGATATCTTGGGTTTTAGGCTTGTGATGCCTGGCAGAGAGAGGCTCAGGAGGCCAAGGAGAGAGCCCGTGTAGCAGACAGTGACCGTCAGCTGGCCCTGCAGAGGAAGGAGGAGGTCGAGGTCCAGGTGAAGCAGCTGCAGGAAGAACTAGAGGGCCTGGGTTTGTCCTCACTGCCAGGGCTGAGGAGCTTGGGTGACATCAGCGACATCCCTCTCCCCAAGCTTCATTCCCTGCAGAGCCAGCTGCGCTTGGACCTGGAGGCTGTGGATGGGGTGAGTCTTGCCGAGAAGTTGCTGTCACTTCAGGGGAGGTAGAGGGGACTGGTTAGTGAGGGGCCTGAGACCTGGCCAGACACTGTTTCTCTTTCCTCTTCTCTGGCTCCTTGCCTGGACTCTGGTTGGTGTCTTTTGCACGTGTCCTGTTGTCCACAGCCAAGGTCCAACTACCACATGTACTTTGTTTCCAAGGTACCGTCTCCTGGGCTCTGGCCACTCTCAGCCCTGGGTGCCTACTTAGCACCCACTGTGGGTACCCAGCAGCCATCCTTGCCTGTGGCTAGAGTGGCTGTGCTACAGGACCCAGCTCTCTGATGGGGGTTAGGGTGTCTCAAGGGAAAGTGTTCTCCCATGTTGGCCTCTGGCCAAGTGTCCACCCCAGGCTTGACACCCAGAGGATTTCTATGACACTGCTGCTGTAGCTGGTGGCCCACTGTCCTGGGATACATTTGCTTGGCTGTACCTGATGTGACTTGCACCAGCCTGGTGCCTTGACCTGACTAGGGGAAGTAAGGGAATAGAGCAAAGACAAACACTGAAGAAAAAACTCAAGATGCAGAAAAGCTAGGGGTGGATGAGCCATGCATGCTCTGATGGAGCTGTACCTACTACCAAAGCAACCAGAACCTTAGTGTGTTTATTACGGACAGCACAGAGGAGTTAGCTTGTGTAGGTAGGAGGAGTCTGTAGGTGAGCAGTCTCAGAGGAAACATCTTTGAGGAGGAAGCTGCATACAGTTGATCTTTTTTGCACACACTGATCAAATATTTTTAAACACTTGTACCTGGACCAGAGGAAGCCTTTGCCAATTTCAAACCTGACCTCTTTTGAAAGGTTTTGCCCATTTCCCATGGATCTAAGGCATTATCTTTCCTTGATAGGATCATGCCATGCCAACTATACACATTTGTTTAGGACTTCATTTGCTCTTTACATTTTCATTCAGGGCCTTCTTGGTTCCCCACACTCACCAACCACATCTTCCCTACAGGTGATCTTCCAGCTTCGTGCCAAACAGTGTGTGGCCTGCCAGGAGAGGGCCCATGGCACTGTCCTCCGGCCCTGCCAGCACCGTGTCTTATGTGAGCTGTGTGCAGCCAGTACCCCTGAGTGTCCCTATTGCAAGGGCCAGCCACTTCCATGGTGACCAGAACCAGGCCCATTCCTTCCCTGGTGAGCAGTGCAAAGGCCTGAGCATGCCATGTGCCACTTCGGTGTCGAAACTTGCCTCCAGTACCACCTATGCCAGGATGTGAGTTCATGCCCACTGCCCAACAGCCTTTCCTACTACCACATCCTACCAACGGTGTCAAGGTAATCTCAGAAAACCTTTGAAGTACCACCAAACCCACTGCCTGTCCCCTGGGCAGGTGGCATGTTTTTGGTGCCCCCAGTCCTGATGCTGTTGTGGCCAGGCCAGTGGGAGGTCAGACCTTGTCAAAGCACTTTGTAAACCGAGGAATTTAATTAGACATTATCAATTGTATAAGCTGCTTTCTAGGTCCATGTTTTTAATATGCTATAACATGAAGCTTTATAAGTGTACTGTGAACTTGAAGTTTCCTATCAGTTTGTTGTTAACTCATAGTAATGGTAACTACATTAGATTTCATATTCTGAAACTATTTAGGAAATGAGCATTTATCTAGTAGTGAAGAAGACCTAGGATTTTTACATTTTAAAATTAAGTGCAAACAAATAGTATTTATAAGCAGAGAATGGTTATTGAAAGACACATATACATTTAGACGTTCTTGATTTTATGAAAGGAACTAATTTTCCTAAACATGTGCAGGTGCACATGTAGATGGAGTTTTATATTCCAGTATCACAGAGTGATATCTAGAGCTCTGTCATGCACTTATGTGATCCGTGGCCACTTCCAAGTGCCTGTGCCTTGCAAAAGAAGTGAAGGAATTGGTTCATTTGGTTTTTTTCTTCTCCCTTGAAAGACAATTTCATGCTAATGAAAAATGCAGCAAAGGAATCACATATTCAGAGGAGTCCAAGATCTACTCGGGAAGGAGCTGTGTTCTGATGTCTTCTTGTCTGTAATGGCAACGGTGCTTTGTGCCCTCAAACTCGGCACCCTAGCTTGTGCTGAACAAAGGGGCTGTGAACCTGAGACTTCAGTCTGCTGCACCTGTGTCCACCCTCACTCACCTCTAGCTGATCCAGAGATCCCAGTGTGACAGTCTCAGCAGACACCTGGTACCTGAGCTGTGCATCCAATTCACGAACAGAATCCAACCCATGACCAGCAACCCCAGCTCTGCTGCAGCTCATCTGTCAAGGTAGAGGCGATGACTTCAGCCTCTACAGTAAGGACTGGGACTGTCCTGGAATTCTAGGGAGGAGACATCTGTCCAGGCAACCCCTGCCTTTGGTGTCAGACCTAGGCAGGCAGGTATCACACCTGCAGGTTCTGCCCAGGCCTAGAAGTGGTTCTCCTCTCCCATGGCTTTGCCAAAGACTTTTAATAGCATTTTTTAAGTGCAAAGTGACTAGGTAAAACGTTTTTATCAGTGACCAAATTAGAATGTATTTAATATAGTAGGAGATTTAAAAGCATTTTTTTAATATAAGACAAACTGGTAGAAAAGCTCTATCGTTTTAAAGGAAGTGGATCCTCAACATTCCGCAGCTAGCCCACTACTTAATAAGGTAACTATTGACCTGGTTTTAGTGACTATTTTGTTTTTAATTATAGTGATAATGATTTATTAGCTCAGTACCTAGATCATGTGTATTTTGTGCTACTGTTACCATGGTTTAAGATTGTTTATTTTTATTCATATTTATGCACTTGTTTCCCATATTGGCCTTTGGTCTCTGTGGTAACAGGACAATGTTTGTGATTGATATCTCATCTGGACATTTTCAAGTTGTAACAGTTAAGCATTAAGCTGTAGACTGTGTATAAGCTACTCTGGTTAATTCCTCCAGGCCTAATATCCCTGGCTGGGGCTGGGGCTGGAGCAGTTATGGGACTGCTGTGTGATGGCTGAGGAGGCAGGAGGCAGTTCCCACTGGGCCGTCCCGTGAGTGGAGCTTCCGTACGCATCTGCTCTTCTGGAATCAGGCTGGGCTATGAGGACAGGTGTGCAGTAGGAAGACAAAGAAGGGGCCACTTCTCCCATCCATCCCAGACCTCCTGGGGCTAAGGCTCCTAGGATCTGTGCTGGGTGGGAACGGCCAAGGAGAAGAAAGATGGTTTTTAAGACCCATTTGTGGGTAATGGAGGTGGGGCCATGGGTCTAGGAACTGAGGTTCACCGTTGTCCTGTTGCCTATTGTCTTTTAACTCTGCAGTGTTAAATATTAATAGTAAATGATGGTGTCAGAGTTTTGTGTACTTGTTTGGCAGACCTTCCCCAGTATGGATGCGCATGTGGATTAACTTATGGAAGCCTTTGTGTGCATTTGTTTTCAGAAATTAGTTGAGAATGTTATGTGAATGGAATCTTCTTAACCCAGAAGGTCGTATTTATAATACATACCCATTTACTTAGTGAATTGTTTAAAGTTGTTAACATTTGTTTAAATTTTTTTACTATAGCATTTATGCAATGGTTTACAGAATTCATGGAGTTATTTTTTATCAGTATGAGATTAATTAAAACTTTGAAATTTATTCTGTCTGGGTCTCTGGGCACAACAAAGGCTGGCCAGCAGGTCCTTGTGTGTATCAGTGACCCTGCTTGGCCTAGAAGATGTCAAAAGAAGCCATGTCTCCACCATAACACTTTGTATACCCCAGTGAGACCACGCCTGGCCTCTCTGAAAAGACACCTAAGGCTGAGGATGTTTCTGTTCTTCATCCTTCCTGGCCACCTGGATCACAGGATGTTCCCACGTAGTCCCGGGTCTCCCCGCAGCTGCTCTGAGGTTGCACCTATGGGGAGCTGCTGACCCAGGTGCTCAAAGTGGGTGGTTTCTGCCAAAATAGGTGGCCAGTGAGGACCTGCCCTGTCCCATCCCTCCCCCCCATAGCTGCAGGCCCCAGGGTGGCTGGCAGCTGACCAGGACAGGCAGACTCACCTGTGGGCTGAGTATGGGGGATTCCATGCTGGTCCAATAGACTGGTCAGTCTTTGTACCTCCTGGGACAGCTTTGAATGTGCCTGGACAAAAATGTTAGCCCAGTCAAACCCTGGTGGGGGCTACCAGGACCAGGGACCCCTGCAATCTTCCCCCTCTGCCCAGACTCTACCTTTCTGCAGTTGTCCAAGGTGTCAAGCCCCAGGCCCTTAGAATTTCCTGCCTGCTGCTGAGTGGGATGGGTTTCTCCTGGGACCTTTAAGTAGCCAGCATCCTCAAAAAGCACCCTCAGCAACTTCCCATAGCCCTGAAGGTGGAGGAGGCAGAAGGAGTACCTGGTAGAGTAGGCAAGGGGACACCCCCTGAGTGTGCACCCACCTGCATTGTGATTAGCTCGTCTGCCAGGTCCTGCTCCATCTGGTCCCAGCGTTGCTGCAGGGCTTCTGGCAGGGTTGGATACACTACAGACCAACAAGAGCCAAACACTGCAGAGCCTCCTCCCTACCCTCCTCTTCCCTGGACCCAGACCTACCAGAGGCCTACCTAACAAAGAATGGGGATGGCAGACCAGGGGGGTCTCAAATGTCAATGCGTAGACACAGGTGCTTGGCTCAGACACATGGGCCAGTCGGTTGATCTTTCCACAGGTGAGCTCCACCTGGGAAGAGAGCCTCAGTGGCTGGTGGGGGTTGGGTAGCTCTCTACCACGCGCAACCACTACAGGGCCTCACCTTGCTCTGCCTGCTCCGGGAGTGGCAGGAGTCCCCATCAGTCATCCACATGCCTTTGAAGGTATTATTGTTGATTTCCCATTCATGCCAGATGCTGGGGAAAAGACAGGTGGCAAAGCAATGAAGTGGGGGCCTAGGAAGCAGACTTAGCACTGCTGCCCTAGCTCAGCTTACCCAAGGATACCACTGTATGCGTTCCAGCGGAAGGTCTGCTCATGCTGGGTCACGTTGTGGAAAGGGCAGAACTCATACTTGTACCTGGGGGCACAGGAGCATGAGGAGCTCTGCAGAAAAGGCCCATTCCACCCACCAGCCCGGCACTCACGTCGACTCCACTAGGCTGAAGCACTTGCCAGCAAGTCTGAAAAGATGTACAGGCCCTGGGGGAGAAAACAACAGTTCAACTTAAGTGAACCTCTGTTACCTCTAAAGCTAGGAGCTAAGGTAGGCAAGAGGGCACTAATCATCAAGCTCCTTTCCCTATGGAATTGGGAATGGTCAGATGCTGGCTGACCTAATCACTGGGGACTGACAAACCCATCCCAGATCACAGAACTGGTTATCTGTCTCTGGACTCTTATGCCTGTTCCTGTGGAGGGGACCCTCCGTGTCTGTCTAGGTTCCCCATAACCTTCTGGAACCCAGTTGCAGACTTGGACCACTGGCCCGTTGGCAAAGTCATCCACTGGCTAAGAAAAGTAGGGGAGTGTGTGTGTGTATACATGTGTGCACGCATGCTAATGAGATTTGGGGACCTTAAAGCAATAGCCATGTGGCAGCCTCAGGAAAATAGAATGCCTGACAAGCCCAAAGCTTAGGACCAGTCTATAAAGATTGGCAGAGTATTCTGTTTCTACAAAAGACCAATTTTCAAAGTCCAGACAGAGTGCTAACAGTTAAACCATGGGGCCTAAAAAGATCAATTTTCAGCAAAACCCACAAGGCATACAAAGAAACAGGGACACATGTTCCATTCAAAGGAGCATTAAAAATCCATAAACCAGGCCGTGTGTAGTGGCACACACTTTTGATCCCAGCACCCTGGAGGCAGAGGCAGGCACATCTCTGTGAGTTCAAGGACAGTCAGCTCTACATTAGTGAGTTTCAGGACAGCTCTGTAGAGAGACCCTCAAAGAAAAATTTAAAAATGTATAAGCTGGAGCTGAAGAGATGACTGGGGTTGGGAGCACCAGCTGCCCTTCCAGAGGACCTGGGTTCAATTCCCAGCACCCACATGGCAGCTTAATCTGTGTCTGTGTCTCCAGTTCCAAGAGACCTGACACACAGACATAGATGCAGAAATTCATAAGCTGGGGCTGGAGCGATGGGTTCAGAGGTTAAGAGCAATGGCTGCTCCTCCAGAAGTCCTAAGTTCAATTCCCAGCAACACATGATGGCTCACAACCATCCATAATGAGATCTGGTGCCCTCTTCTGGCATGCGAGGGTACATGCAGACAGAACAGTGTATACATAATAAATACATCTTTTAAAAAAAAAAATCCATAAACTACTGGAGAATTCCATAGCTGAGAAAAGTGTCCTTCAAACCTGAGGAGGCTGGTGAGTACTACTAGTAGAGTGTGTGCTTACTGGTTTTGGAACTCTGACATTGGCACCCATGCTTGTTACAGCTTGCTAAGTCCACTATCAACATACATTGGATGTCCTTTAAAAAAAGAAATGCTAGCTCTGAGTTGGGCATTGTAGTGTACACCTTTAATCCCAGCACTCAGGAAGCAGGCAGGCAGATCTCTGTGAATTCCAGGACAGCCTGGTCTACAAAGTGAGTTCTGGGATAGCCAAGGGTATACAAACACTGTCTTGAAATTTTTTTAAAATTTATTTCTATGTATCAGTGTTCTGCTTGCATGTGTACATGTGTACCACATGCAGTACCTGTGGAGATCCTCTAGAACTTGAGTTATAGACAGTTGTGAGCTACCATGCAGGTGCTGAGAAGTGAACTTGAGTCCATTGCAAGAGCAGCAAATACTCTTAACCACTGAGCCATCTCTCTAGGCCCTGATTCTCTTTCTTAAATATTGCCTTTTTTTTTTTTTTTTTTTTTTTGTTACTACTACTAAGATTTTCTTCTTCTTCTTCTTCTTTTTTTTTTTTTTTTTTTTTTTTTTTTTTTTTTTTACAAGGTAGGGTTTCTCTGCATAGCCCTGGCTCCTAGAACTGGCTCTATAGACCAGGCTGGCCTCAAACTCAGAGATCCACTTGCCTTTGGCTCCTTAGTGCTGGGATCAAAGGAGGGGGGTAGTAAAAAGTTGAAAAAAAAAAAAAAAACAAACCTAACTTAATCACAATTCCCACATAGTAATTACTGTTTGTTATACAGCTCCCTCAGGCCCAGCTTCATAATTCAAGTTTCTGATCATGTGCTCAAACTGGCTGTTCACAGACCCAGATGTACAGTCAGTTCTTACGAATTGATCTTTTCTGTTGCAGCCTTGGCAAGCAAAGCAGTAGCATGGATCTTTCTCATCCCTGTGTCTCTACCTACTTTATAAGACATTTTCCTTCCTGTCTTCACCAGCTCTATTGATTCTCCTGCAGATTTTGTTATTTAGAAAAATACCTGCCTTTTTGAGAGAGTATTCAAGGGACTCAACCTACCTAGAGTCTCAAGCATACATTCTGGAGTTCTAGTGCCTTGGTGGCTTCTCCTAAGAAATGCACCTTAGCTCTGAGGTCAAACAGGCTGAAGTGAAGGAGTGGAACAGACACACTCCATGAATTGTGTGAGAAAAATAAGAATAAAAGTTGCAGCCAAGTGGTGGTGGTGCATGCCTTTGATCTTAGCACTTGGGAGGCAGAGGCAGGTGGATCTCTGCAAGTTCCAGGCCAGCCTGACCTACAGAGCGAGTTCCAGGGCAGGCTCCAAAACAATACAGAGAAACCCTGTCTCGGGGGGAAAAATGTATGTATGTATGTATGTGCAGTAGTGGGTTCCTGGCAATGTCTGGTCATTCCTCCTAGCCAACCAAGGAGCTACAAGCTAGTTTGGAGGAATCCCCACATCTTATGCCACCTCCTCACACACACATATTGTGCTCACAATATGATGGTAGTAGGCCCTTGAACTTCTGTGTCTATCAGGAACATCCCAAGCCATGTCATCCCATGAAAAGGACTTAGATTGTGATGACAGCTGAGCCCAGCTGGTTCACTGCTGGAGACCAGTAGATGTTCCCTGCCTACAGCTTCAGAGGTTCCTGCCATGGGCTACCTGTTCCCCAGGGGATCAAATGCTACAAACCAGCATGCCCAGCACACCTCAGGTAGTGGGTCACCAAATTCCCAGAGTGCAACCTCAGCTAGGCAAAGTCCCTTCATACTGACCAGCCCTGAGCCTCCTTCAACCACTGTGTTCCACTCTCTTTAGTCCTGCTAGGGTCTCAGCTCCAAGCTTTCCTGCACAAAGGATTTTGATCTTTCTGATGCCCTCTCCACTCCCTTAGATCTAGACAGGCGAAACACACCTGGAGTGGACTCCTAACACCCAACATCACTGCAACTCCTAATCAGTTTAAGTACATGTGGGAAGTGCAGACTTTAGGATCACGAGTCGGAGGCCAACGATGTACATCAAGGCATTGTCGGAGTCCTTCAGTCAAGGCATCCTATGCTGCTGCCCCCACCCCCAGCCAAGGGCTTTCCTCGACCCCTTGGTCAGCACCTCGGTCAGCTCCACGATCCCTCCCGCGCTTACCCGATACAGGCGAAGGTTCTCTCTTAGGCTGAAGGCGATTTGCCTGGGGCAGGAACGGGTTATTCAGCCTAGGGGACAGAGAAAGTCAGGGGAGTCCGCCACGCCCGGTCCCCAAGCCGCCGGACCGCGAGATTTACCCGAATGTATTGGGCTCCTCCACCACCTTCATCTTCCCGGCATGTGCCGGCACGAACCCTGTGGAGAGCAAGGCGATGAGCAGGGAGCTGAGGCGCGGGCGACGCCCAAGTGCGGAGGGGTATGTGCGCGGAGCCACTGACCGCGCGCCGCGAGCCCCAGCAGCATCAGGAAGCAGGTTAGCCGCACCGCCATCGCTCCCCGGGTCGCACACTCACGTGAGCGACAGCAGGAACCGGAAGCTGTGAGAGCGCGCACGCGCACACTGCTCGAACAAACCCTGTGGCCGAGGGTTTTTAATCTAGGGCTATGGGCCGCAAGAAGGCTGTGCGAGGATCCAGGACGGAGAGCGGTCGTGTTCGGCGTCCCCCCGACCGCTCTCTGGATGCTTTCGCTGAGGAGATGGACGCTGCGCTGCGCGGTGAGTTTGGAGCGATCGCAGCAGCGGGTCGGGCTTGGAAGTAGGCGCTGAGGACCCGACCTCCTCTTTCTCTCCCTCTCTGCAGCATCTGTGCAGCCTGAAGCGGCCGAGGGCCAGAACGGCCCCGGCCCTACGGCGCTACCTTGTGCCCTGGCTATGTGGGAACTTGGCCACTGCGACCCTCGGCGCTGCACGGGCCGTAAACTGGCCCGCCTGGGTCTGGTACGCTGCCTGCGCCTGGGCCAAAGGTTTGGCGGTCTGGTGCTCAGCCCCGTAGGCACTCAGTACGTGTCTCCCGCAGACAGGTAGGCACCGGAGGCCTGGGAGACCGGGAAGGGATCGAAGTGCCCTCCCCATTATCTTGTCCTTGTTAAACAGCCCCTTATGGAGGCTATCATTTTCTTCAAGCCTTGCTTACTGGTCTTGGATGTCCACGCTTTTCACTTGGGCAGAATTGTATTTAACTTGACGCTTTTCATAGAGCGAGGCTTAGCATGTAGAAGAGCCTAGGAGAAAAAGCTAAGTAAACACTGTCCAGCTGCCTGTAAGTTTGTTAGCAAGGGCTCCTTGTACCACTGCAATAAACCATAGTTTGGAAATCCTAGACTATCTCATCTGTAGTGAAACCGGTCTCCAAAAACATGTATTACATGGTGCTCCAGAACCTACCCTACACTCTCTGGCAGACAGCTGGTGGCACAGTCAGGGGTCGCTGTCATAGACTGCTCCTGGGCCAAACTGGATGAGACACCCTTTGGGAAGATGCGAGGGAGCCATTTGCGGCTCCTGCCTTACCTCCTGGCTGCTAACCCTGTAAACTATGGCCGACCCTGCAGACTTTCCTGCGTGGAAGCTTTTGCTGCGGCTTTCTGCATTGTAGGTGAGTTTCAGGCTGGCAGAAGCCTGCCCTGGCAGTCTGGGCCCTGACTGTGACCCAAGGACTGTGGTTTCTTTCTTCTAGCAGATTCAGAGCAGGGGGATATGAGGTGAATATATTGGGAGCTGTCAGGACAGCCTTTGGTTTTAGTCCCAGTGCCCACGTATAGCTTTGACCTTGTAAGTGGAGGTAGAGGCAAGATGGACAGCTGTCTTCCCAGGATGGTGTGTGGGTCGTCACTGTCATGACAGCACTGCCCCAAATGTCTTTGTTCTCAGTATCTGAAGGGAATGTAGGATTCAAGGAGAGGCCCCAATGGAGACCACATAAGGCATAGGGACTAGCATAGTAGGGCTATTTCTCAGCAAATGATGAGGAACCTTGGGACTGTCAAGATGCTGAGAGCTTCCTGGGGTGGCAGGAAGGGGTGGTATGGTTGTGCTCTCTAAAGGGTCCCAGTTATATTTGAAGTTTTTCTTCTGCCAGGCTTTTCAGATCTTGCTGTCATTTTGCTCCAGAAGTTTAAGTGGGGCAAGGGCTTCCTGGACCTGAACCGACAGCTCCTGGATAAGTATGCAGCCTGCCGTGGTCCAGAGGAGGTGCTGCAGGTGGAACAGGGGTACTTGGCTAGCACCAAGGACACCCCTGAGGAGGAGGAGATTGGTGAGGCCTGTCTTGGTTGGGAGCTCTTCCAGGGCCTTTGGAGCCTGGAGCCACCAGTTTGAGTCTCCCCTGAAATCACTTAAGAGATTACCTTCCTCTCTGTTCAGATCCCTTTGATGTGGACTCCGGTCGAGAGTTTGCAAACCTCAACAGGCCTGTGGCCAGCATCTGGTAGGTTCTGTGGATCCACGCTAAGTGATGGCTCAAGCCCAATGTGCTCCTGGAACCTTTACCCAGCTCTTCCTGCCTTGTGGGTGTGGCTTTCTGATCAAGGCTTGGTGGTAATTACAAAGTATAAAGCAGCTGCCTGCTGGAGGGGGTTGAACTCAGAGTATCCCCTGCTTGAGGTGTCTATGGTTGCATGTCATAGGGAAGGTAACTTTGCACTGGCCTATGTATATACCATGGAACATCCCTCCCTTCCAGGCAGCCCGTGGGCATGGATGATATTGATGAGTCTGAGGACCACAGTGAGGATTCTGAGGAAGACAGTGATGAGTATGAGAAACAAGAAGCTGATGCTAATGGAGGAGACAACAGCTGTTCTCAAGAGGTAGAGACAGAACAAGAGGCTCAGGCCAGAGATTCCACTGGACTCTAGAAAGAAATCAAGAGACAGCAGAGAGACTGAAGGTTGCAAACACATACATTATTGAAGCTGGTGTGCATCAGTCCAGAAGTGGCAGTGGGACCTGGGGATAGACAGGCCTGGTGGGACAATTCTGTGACATTCTTGTTTGGAGTCCTACCTTAGAGCTCTTGATAAAGCCAAGAAGGAGCCTCTCCCCACCCCTACCCCCAAATATGAGTTCTGTTGCTTTGTACTTGGCTAAAGGTTGGGGAAATCTACCTGGGTGGATCTGAGCTATGGGGTAAATCTGGTATGGTCACATACAGATGTGTAAAAGGATATCTGACCAGCTAGCCATAGAGCCTTTAACCCTGATCTCCACCTGTGGGTAGTGTGTGTCCCTTTCCTCATGGTGACTATGGGAGAAACTCTCTTGGGCCCAGGAGCCAGGTGGGGACCAGAAGGAAAGTAAACCTTAACTGGCCCCTTGCTCACCTGCTGTGGGTAGAACATCTAGATCAGGAGAGAGAAGCTGAAGCAATAGAAGCACATACTCTCACCCTCTCTCTTCCTGGGGCCCTGGCAGCTCAGCTGCTAACTTCCTAACTTGTCCTCTGGCCTTTGCCAGTGGAGACCTACCCTGGGGGGGGGGGGGTGGGCAGAGCAGGGCTTCCTCTATGAGGCTCTCCCATGGCACTGCTGTCATGAGACACAAATCATTTCTCATCAAGCCAACTGATGGTTACAAGGATGTGAAGAGCAACATTGGCCTCCACCCCTGGCACCAGTAACCCTAATATCTCCAGATACCACCTAGTGGCCTCTAGGGGGCAGAGTCCACTGAGAGCATACGACCACTGCTCCAGGGAGGAGAGCCCACTAAGGTCAGGTCCCATCCATCCTGTTCTGTGTCCATGGGCAGATGCTGGCCAGGTCCCTCTGAGTTGGCTGCCTGTATTCAAGGTGGGGCATGCTGGGGCACAAAGGGTTCACAGAGCACACCAAAAGACACAGCCAGACAAGCCACAAGGTTCAACCAGAGCAGGCAGGTCACATGGTCAGGGAAGTGGGGAGGGCCAGGTAGTAACCATCAGGGTGCTCAGAGGTCAGCCTCCATGCTCTTCTCCAGCTCCTTGAGTTTCTTGACAAACTCTTGGGCTTCTCTGTTGGTGCGGCCTTCTAGCATCCGCAGTGCAGACCTCACTGTCGGTAGATATGTAGATGGGCATAAAGGAAGCCAGTTTGGGCCAGGCCTGCCACCCTCAACCCCATGGATTCTCACTCACCCTGGGCCCTGGGCCTGCGCAGGTGTAGTGTGATGGGTTGTCCCGGTCTCATGCCCCCTCCCACATGTGGCCTTGTGATGCCACTGATACCACTTAGGCCAAGGGCTGCCTCCCCAGCAAAGTCATTGGTGGACAGCCAGTCGTGGTCCATAACCGTGAACAGCACACAGGCCCCGCGGCGGCGGCACACCTCTGCAGGCACGGAGCTGTAGACAAGGCAGTCAGAAGCCTGCTACAGCCATATGCCATATGCATGGGGCACAGCAAGCCAAGCGGGCACTCACAAGTGGAAGAGCTCGTCATACACCGGGTGCAATGTCCGGGCCTTGACTTGGGTCCTCTGGCTGCGGACCAGTGGGAAGAGGTGTGGTGGGCCAAGCTCCACAATCACAAAGGGGTCGCTGAGGCCTAGAAGATAAAGTGTGAGCCAAATGTCTCCCTGGCCTCTCCCTGCTGCTGCTGCTGCTGCGCCTCACCATTGGCATCCAAGGGCAGCAGATCTGCTGCATGCAGCACTTCCACAGCTAGCCGCTGCTCAGCTGCTTCATAATGACATCGCACAGTCAGGCGCCCGAACCGGTTCTGCTCCAGAGACCTCTGTGGGAAGGGCCAGTGGAAAAAGCCAGTGAATGAAGCTGGGCTCAGAGCAGGCCTGTTGGTAGAAAATGACATCCTACCTGCTTGAGCTTGTCCAGGTAAAACTGCTCGATGCATTCTCGGGTAGAGCATTTGTGTAGCCGCAGCTCCTCCTCCAGCCTCTGCAAGGGAAACTGGCACTAGTAACTCTGGTCCCTGGGGTAGGGGGCAACCAGGTGCCCTCACAATCATCTGAACTGCCTCATGGCCATCTGGTTTCACAACAGGGCAGCAAGCTGAACTTGTTCCTGCAGAAGGCCCAGCTCACTCAAAAGCTCACCTTGTAGCTTCCATCCCTCAGGTTCTCCAGGGGTAGCCCCTGGCCCTCAGCATGGAAGAAACTGACCAGAGCCTATACAGGGAAAGAGGAGGGGCTTGTCAGAGCTCTGACCTATGCTGAAGACCTGCAGGTTTGAGGAGCACTGGGTATTAGGGGCCAAGGCAAGGCTACTTCTCAAATCCAAGGCACCTCAGACATCCCAGGAGGCCTGGGAAATTCCAGCACCTGAGGCCAGGCGGCTGTGGGGACAGATGTCCTAAGGTATTTGAGACATAGGGAAGAGGAGCTGACAGTAGAGCTGTGGAGTACCCAGGCAAGCGTAGTGTCCTATAGGGGCAGCAGGGAGAGGGCTTTGGGGACATGGACCTGGGAGCTCTTTGTGACCCTACCTCAAGTGTGAAGTGGAAGCGTCCATAGAAATCAGCAGAGACATCTCTGTTTGCACTCAGTGCCTGCAGGATGGCCTGAAGAAGCAGCTCCCACAGGGCCTCCAGCACCCTGGAGGAACACCATCTGGGTGACTCCCTGGACCAGCAACCACCCCAGTCACCCGACTGCCTAGCTGGTACCTGTTCAGGTTCTCCTTCACCAGTGACTCATTCAGCAAGGCCAGCTTCTCGTCTAGGTACTTCAGGAGTGGGGCTACAGCCTGTAGGCAGGAGTCCTCAGGGCTGGCCAAATGACTTCAGCCTGCCCCTGGCATATATATGCATTCCCGGCTAACCCCCTCCACTTACCTCATCATTCTGAATGGAGTCAGGGGACAGACTGATGTGTTGTACATACTTCCTGATGTCTGCCACCATCTGAGAGAGGGGTGGTGCTCAGAACAAGAGTGGGGATTCAAAAATAGTCCCCACATGGGTACGAGTCCCGGGCATCACCCCTCTACCCACCTTGGAAGTCAGATGTGCTGTCACAGTGTGAGCCTCCCTCTGGAGATCTTCATCCAGGGCCTGTATGCAGCTGAGTAGAGGGCGGGGGAGCACTCCCTCCAGCCCACTGGCCCCTTCAGGCCATGCCAGGCCTTTGAGTGACTGCCCCGAAGCTCTGCGTACCAACTCTACATTGTTGAGCACCACACAGAGCTGGGAAGGTATGACCAGAGGCAGCTGGACTGCTGTCAAGGGAGTGGGAGGGTGACCCCATCCAGCCACCTGCTGGCCTCACCTGACATCCAGCCACTCACCTGTTCACTCACTGCCTCCCCAGCAGCCCCTGGCTGGGTGTCCACCTTCTTCCTCAGCAGTTCCGTGTAGAAGAGTGAGGCCTCACACATATCCTGGGGCAGAGATGGACTGGAAGCTTGGGACCTTGCCTTTGCCCCATCTCCTGATCTACTCCCCACATACCCTCAGCCCATGTACCTGGCTGAGCTGAGTGCCTAGTCCCTGGGCCTGGGCAGGGTCAGGCCAGGCCAGGCGGACCCAGAGCTCCTGGATGTGGCTAAGACAGAGGCTGGCGGTGGCTGCAGAGCTGCTGTGTTTGGAAGCCGCATCCACAGGCTCCAGCTACAAAGGCAGAAGGGGACTGATGTTGCAGGGTACAGGGTGAGGCAGCACCATGCAAGTGAGCACACACTCACCGTGTCTACATCCACAGCTCCCTGCAGGCGCCACTTGGCCTGGTCCCTCAGCACCTGCAGCCAGAGCTTCACAGCTGGCAGAAACGCAGTGTGGATGCCAGCCAGGGCTAATGAGCGGCTTTCCCTGCAGTGAATGTTTGCTCAGAGCCCATCAGGACTCCCATACCTTCACTCAGAAGTCTCCAGGTTCAGAGCTAAGGGCATACCAATTCTAGGGAGGGTACTCACCGTCCAGGAATGCAGCTCCAGAAGCGCTGGGTATCTGCCAGGGTCAGGTACAGCTCAAAGAGCCCTGAGGCCACCTCTAGGTTCATCTTGGGGCTCAGCTCCTCAGTCAATACCCATGCCTCCTCAGCCACCTGCCTCAGATGATGGGATTAGGCCACTGCCAAAGTAAATCTAGGGACCCTCTTAACCAGGGACTTCTCCCTGGTCTCCAGAACCCACAGGCACCCAGGGTAAGGAACTCCCCCCTCACCAGACGTTCCAGCTGCCGGAAGGTAAGGGTGAAGAAGTCCACCTTAAGGATACTGCAAAAGACATTCCTCAGCCACCTGTTTCCCACCAGTCAGCCCAACCATCCCAACCCAGCCCATTCTGGCCTAGTAGCAGCATCCAGGGGAAGGGCCTACCCATGGAAGAGGCTGGCGTAGACCCCATAGCAGGACTGCAAGTCCTCATAGATGATGTCTGCAAGCTCAACAAGCCCCACTAGGCGCTGCGGCCCTGGCTGCAAGAAAGCCAGGCTTGGAGTGACCAGTGTACCCCCCGAATGCCCCGTGTCTCCAATCCATGCCATCCAGATCCACACCTGCTCTCGAGGACTCTTGGTGTTCAGGAGTTGGTCGTACCACTCACGGTTGCCTCGCTGGAGCAGCAGCCAGTAAAGTAACACAGTGGATTGAAGGCAAGAATCAGATTAAGCAGCTGTGGACAGCAGGGCCTGGCAGGGGCCAAGGGAAGGAGAGCTAGGATGGATGCAGACACACCTTCAGGGCAGCAGCAATGTCCATGTTGAGCTCTGTCTCAAAGGGACAGATCTGAAAGGCTGGCTGGAAAAGCTGTAGCTTCTCAAGGCACCTGGTGAGGACAGTCAGCTGAGGAGGCCCGTTCCAACCCCTACCCTCCAGCCCCTCAGCCCTGCTGTGCTACACCCACTTCAGCAGCAACTCCAAGCGATACACAGCCGTGCTGTTGGTGGCAGGGAAGTAATCTCGGAGCTGGCGCAGTAGCCTCAGCCCAAACTCCGAGAAGGCAGAAAAACTGTCAGCCAGGCTCTCCTCCTGTAGGGAGCGGGTTCTTCAGTCAAGACAGGACAAGGTCCAAGGCAGCTTTGCTACAGACACTAGAAAACCACTGCTTCATGAAGCTAGCCCAGTCCCTTCCCAATTGCCTGTCCCGCTCTCAACTCCCACAACTCTTCCCTCACTGCACCTATGAGCAAC